CGTCGTTTCAGAAAGGATGCACACAGAGCAAGTGCACTGAAGTCTCCCTGTGTTGATACGAAGCTGTGTGGAAGCCACAGAGAGGCAGGGAAGCCTGTATTGGTTAAGACTTCAAGGACCCAGAGCCCTATTCCAGGGTCTGAATCTCAGCCCCACCACTTACTAGGAGGAGGCCTTGGGCAAGATGCTTAACTTTGCCATGCCTCCATTTCCCCAACTGTAAAATGGGGATAATAGACTGCATGGCACAGGGTCACTGTGAGGATGCAGAGTTCGTGCACAAAGCCACATCGAATTGGGTATGGAAGGAGGTGCCCTTTCTTGGGCTGCAGCTTGACCCCTTTCAGTGCTGGACATGTGAGCTAGCGCCTCTGGGCCATCCTCGACCTGATGGCCTCTCTTACTCCTGCAAGGATCCTCTACCAACACCCTGGACTTGAGCTCCTGCTGGGGTCCTTCTGCCTCAAAGTCCTCCTGGCTTGGCAAGCTGCTAAAGTGTAGAATCAGGCCACCGTCAGGGTGTGTGCCTTGTGCAGGCCCCCTCAAATGGAGCACGTCTCCTCTTGGGCTCTTGCCCTGCTCCAGGGTGGGCTGACTGGGGGTGGGGAATGTTTATGGGGCTTCTACTGGGTGCCGGATTTCCTTCCTTACAACAAAGGAGCAAGGTAGCTGTTAGCAACCTTGATCCACAGTGAGGACACTGAATTCTGGAGAGGTCTGCCCAGGTGTCAGACTGCTGGGCCTTTCAGGGCTCAGATTTCACCGCAGGCTCCTCAGGAGCAGAGGTTTTGGAGCTCAGGGCAAGTGCATGGTGGAGAGAGGAAAGCCCTCAAAACCCAGAGCACAGCCGGCACAAGGACTTTTGGAGCTGACCTGACACCTAGTGGCCACAGGTAGGAATTACTCCACCGTTAGGAAGGCTCCAGGGCTGTTGCAGGCAGGGTTTGGGCTTGGCAGGCCCTTCGCTTACTTGGGGGTGGCAGTGTCAAGGGGTGGAGTGACCTGGGGGGTCAGGGGTGTTGGGGAGATTTCAGCTTCCCTGTATCTCCATCATTCTTCAATAGCTACCCAAGCAAAAAGTAACACTTGATTTAAAAATTGTTGCCTTTTCACTTTTACGCCAAAGGTGAATCAAAGCATCTGGAGAAAGCGGCGGTTTTCATTTGTCTACAACCGACAGTTCATAACGAATTTTGATACTTCGTGGTCTCTTTGTCCCCAGGTTCCACCCAGACACCAGCCGTGATTGGACATTCACTTACAGGTGGGGGACTTGATGGAGAATCTTGTGGATTAGAATAAACTCAAAAGACATGGTCCCTGACTTCCAGGGGATTTGGGTTATTTGGGGAGTTGGAGCAAAAGCATCTACATATCCTGAGGGGTATGGTGGGTGTGAGTTTCAGCCCACAAACTCCTTGCTGAGTTTCTTCCTTTTCTTTTCATCATCCTAATTTTGACTCAGCCCCTGTACCACCCAATTAAGGGAAATTCCACATCCGGCTAAGACTTCGAATGAGGAAGGGAGAGGGGAAACTATGCCGTGGGAAGAGGGACACGCATCATTTTGAACAATGACTCTGCCACCTGTGCGGAGAGGCCGCAGCGTCACCCTCAGCCTCATGCAGCAGAGGGACACCCGCGGGCTGGTGACTTGATGCCTAGATGCTCTGAAGTGCCGGTTCCCGGACGCCCCCAAACTCTCCCCGTTTTTCACCACTTGCCCCAAACAATTGCCAGCTGCCTGTGTTTGTTCAGTCCACAAGTATTTATTGAGCATCTACTATATGCCAGGCCTCATGCGGGGCTACAGAGATGTATGGGACAATCCCTGCCCTTCTTCACCCTCAGAGATGACTGACAAAATTAACCCAAACCCTCCCCCGCTCTGTGTATGCTGTTCTTGGCTATTCCTGCTCTCCTTTTGCTAAGCTCCTCATGTCCCCTGGTTTCCCAAGGAATATGAAAAAGAAACGCAGAATGGCAGGTCCCTACAGCAGTGGGAAGCCTTTATTGCAGCTGTCCCACTTTTTAGGTGGAACCACAAGGCTCCAAGGCCAGGTGGCCAGGTAGTACCTGGCCTCCACTAGAAGCCGGGTCTCTGCCTCTCATCCTGGCTTCGCTCCACCTGACCCCTCGGCATTGCTTTTGAAGGGCCCTGTCCTCATTTCATGAGCATCTCTTCCCTCTGCCACCACCTCCCCTATCTGGAAATCTCTCCCCTTCACACAGTTTCAGTGACTATGGTGGCTGCTCTGTGCACTGACCTCCTCTGCACTGCTCTTTCCCCGCTGCCTAGCAACCCCAGTGCAGTCCCCCTTTGTCTTCCTGGTTCTCAAAGAGGCCGCCCAGGACCCGTCCCCTGCTGGTCCCTAAAGCCCCAGAGCGTGCTCCCCTGGCGAAGGGCACACAGCTCGCAGCCCAGGGACGCTGAGGCCAAGCTTTATTGGCTCCCTCCCAGGCCTGGCCTTCGTGTTGGTCCACTGAAGTCTCAGCCAGCTCTCCGCCTCCTCCTCGCCACCATCCGACTTGCCAGGACTGCTCTGTCGCAGAAACCTCTTCCCAGGCCAGACTTGTTGCTATGGCTTCGCCACTGACAAGACACTGGTTTGAAAGGTAAGGGGGTAATGTTGAGCGCCAGTGCAGCCTCTCCCGGCGTGGCGGGGCACCGAACATGGGTGAGGGTCGGTGTGAACACGGGCAGGGGCAGATCTGGGTCACGCTGTTGGCAAGGGGTTGGCAGGAGGCTGCGGTTTACAATGCGCACACCCTTCGGCCAACACTCAGCCCAGGCCTGCTCCCCCGGGCCCGCCAGAGAACATGCTCCGAAACACTGTCTACAGAAGGATGCTGGTGACAGTATCATTGGTAGTAGCAAAACAGAAACGAAATGCCCATAAAAATGAGATTAAATGACAAGGCTTCCCTACTGCGAAATACCACGTGGCTGCAGAGAAGACTAAGACGGCTGTAAGTGTCCTAGCAAGGGAGGGTCCCAGACACACTGAGGCAGAGCAAGTTCAGAGGAACGACACAGGTGAGTCCCTCTGTGGTGATAAGAAGCAGTGTGTGCGTCTGCGTCACACTTATGCGACCAGCTCGTGTTCTGTGCGACGACCACAGGCCAGGTGCAGCTCTAAATGCTTTTATGGGCACTTGTTCATTTAACCCTCAAAACCTCCGAAGCCATGGGCACTAGCATTAGCCCCCAAACCCAGATGGGGAAACTGAGGCACGGGGCGGTTGGGTAACTCGCCCAAGATTCCACAGGAGTGGGACTAGGATCGGAGCTCAGATGGCCCCAACCCGAGTTTTTAACCGTTTCGTCACACGCACGCACATACTGACTGCAGGATTCGTGGGAAGAGACAGGGACACTGCACCTGAAACAGTTTGTGAGTGCGCTCTGGGAGGCAGCCTGAGGGGATGGGGAGGTCTCCCTTCATTTTCTCCCTGTTATACCTCTGTGGATCTAGAATTTTTATAAGCACATAGTATTTGTCACACAAAAAAATGAATATCAAAAATTCATGCAACGACTCTGCTCTTCAGTCAGGACTAATAGCTGCAGAGTGTGGTCTCGGGGCAATGTGATGGGCCCATGAGGGCCGCCCCCTCAGTGCTCAAGACTCAGGGACCCAGACCCCAGCACTGCATCTTTTTTTTTTTTAATCCTCACCCGAGGACATTTTTGCATTTATCTTCAGATAGAGCGGGAGGGAGAGAGAGAAACATCGACATGAGAGAGACACATCGACTGGTTCCCATCCACATAATCCCAACCGAGGCTGGGGACAAACTGCAACCAAGGTTCGTGCCCTCAGCGGGAACTGAACCTGGGTCTCTCTGGTCCGCTCTAACTGCTGAGCCAAACCGGCCAGGGCCCAGCACTGCCTCTTGATGGCCATGTAACCTCGTCTCCAGAGCTGGAGGATTTGCTGGACCCGGAACCTGGTCTCTTGATCTCTGGGCACGTTCCACCCGTGTCCCAAGGAACAAGAGGCTCTGTTTACAGAAGGGCAGGTGGAGATATTCGGGACAGAGGCCTGGGTGATGGGGGGATGGTGTACAAGCCTGAGCCGTCTTTGAGGGGCCTCCTTGCTGGATGACAGCTCCTTCGGTGTGTTGTGCCCACTTGATCCTTACGAAACACTCTAGGTGCTGTGGTTAACACCTTACTCTAAAGACCTGGAGACGGCGCCCTGCGCACGGCCACACCCTTACTGACAGTGGGGATTGCAGATGGGTCAGCCTGCCCCACCGGCTGCGCTGTGGCGTCTCCCCACGGAGATGCTGATCGGAGAAGTCTTGCCAGGCAGGATCGGGGCGGGTCCTCCTCTGATGGAGCTCCTTAAGGACACCAAGACACGAGGCTGCAGGGCGCGAGGGGAGCCCCAACCGCAGACCCAGCGGGGCCCTGTGGCCTTGGTGAGGAGGTCTGGCACGGTGGCAGGCTCTGGGACCACCCGGACTGGGTTCAGTGGCCATTGCTGCCCCTTTCCAGCGGTGGGCTCTTAGCTCCTGCGCCTTCCTTCTCTGAAACTCGATTTCATCATCGATGGCTCCGGGGTGGGGGCAGGGAGTTCAGGACACTAGCACCGCCTCTGGGTGCCATGAGAATCAGGCACCTGTTCCTGTTTGGTGACTGGCAGAGAACTTGGCACGTGGCAAGGACTCGCGGGTGTTGGTTATCGTTATTACTATTGTCATAGTCCTTTCCTATCTCTTCAAGGACTCGGCCTAAGTGACAGCCTGCGTCACTCCCTAAGCGACAGCAGAGTTGAATGACCTGCGGTTCCCCAGGGCACCATGCTCAGCTCACACTTCAGCTCTTGGTGCTTGATGTCCCTCTGCCCGCTCGTCTACGTCTCTGTGGCACCCCTGCCTGAGTGACACGTCCTCTTTGGGCTATCGTGGTACCTGGTGCACACCCTTTCACCATGCCAGGGCCCAACACCATGCCAGGGCCTAACCACTTGCTCCTTTGTGGCCCCTCCTATCTACTGTGGGCACTTGTCCCGGAATGTGGCCGCAGCCAGCGTGTGCGGTTGAGGCTGAAGCTGGCGGAGTGAGCCGGTGGGAGACAGCAGGGTGGGCAGCGGGGCAGCTTCGGGGTGGGGCAAGGAGCTGCTGTGCAGGGAGATCAGGCCTAATAAAGCGCAGTCGTGGCCCCTGGAGCTCAGGCCAACGTGGCCAGGGCGCCTTCTAGAGAACAGAGGGCCTGCCTGGGACAGAAGCTGAATGGGCTGGGCCGCTGGGCCCGTGCTGACCTGAAGTCCACCATGCCGGTGCTGTCTTCCAGCCGCTTTGTCAGCTCCCTGAGCTGCGACCGGTTTAGGGGGACCTGGTTTTGCTGTGGATAGAATGTACGAGGTTAATGGAGCTCTTGGCTTACCTGCTCTCCTGGCCACCTCACTACACACACGCGCACACACACACACTCACACACACTCACACATGCACACACACACTCACACACTCACAACACACACACGCACACATACATGCACGCACACACTCACACACACATATGCACACACATGCACACATACATGCACGCACACACTCACACACATATGCACACGCACGCACACACTCACATACACTCACACTCACACACGCGCACACGCACGCACACACTCACACACATGCATGCACGCACTCACACACTCATATGCATACACACATGCACGCACATTCACACACACGCACACACTCACACACGGACGCACACACTCAAACACACACATGCACGCATACACTCACACACGCATATGCGCGCGCGCACACACGCACACACTCACACACGCACATGCACACTCTGCCTATGGCACTAGGGATCGGCACACCTTTGTCATGGCTTTCCAGAACTCGCCCGCAGACATCTTCATCGCCCCAGTAGCACTCAAGCTCTTGAAGAAGTCCAGGATGGTGATTTCCTTCTGGTCCGCATAGCTCTGCGAGAAGCAGGAGACATAGGAGCAGACGCTTGGCCTTATCACATCTGTAACAAGTCTTCCTCCAGCCCCACCACAGGGTGGCCCAGCCCCGGACCTAGCAGGCCGAGGGGAGTGTGACAAGGTGGACCCCGGACCTTGAGTCTCCCAGATGTGAGACTTACTTAAGATCAAGAGTCCTGCGCAGCATTGAAGGACAGGACGGTGATGGCATTTACGTGCATTGTTTAGTTTTGTTTTGTTTTTTTTTTTTTTTTTATTTATTTTTTTTAATCCTCACCCGAGGACATTTTTCCATTTTTTGTTCAGATAGAGTGGGAGGGAGAGATAGAGAGAGAAACATCGATGTGAAAGGGACACATCGAGTGGTTGCCACCCGCACGACCCAACCAGGGCCGGGGACAAACTGCAACCAAGTTACATGCCCTTAGCGGGAACCGAACCCGGGTCTCTCCGGACCGCAGGCTAACGCTCCAACCGCTGAGCCAAACCGGCCAGGGCACATTGTTTAGTTTTGAAACTGCCTCTGCTGACACTAGCGTAGATGGTGCACCGTGAACGGTGGGTGGGCTGTCGGCTCAGAGGCCGGAAGCCCAGACCACAGCCCCATGTGTGACGGGCAGGACTGACTCTTGGAATTCATTCATTCTCATCATTTCACACACATGCTTATGTGGGGACATACGGTGTCAGAGTATTTTAGAAATAATATTTTATTGTCTTTGTTTCAAAAATATTACCCAGTCACATTGTAAGGTAACTTTAGATTAGTAGAAAGAAGAAAATGAAAAATAATCCATCGATCTAATCCCACCCTCCAGAGGTAACACCTTGATGTATATTCTTTCATCTATTTGTCTGTCTGTCTATCATCCATCCACCTATCATTTTCCTACTATACACAGTTTTATGAAATGCACTGTACCAATACCTTGCGAACACCTTTTCAATATTGTTAAAATATTCTTTTGGGGTCCTTTTGTGGTATCTTTCTCACCTGAATCCTTCAAGGCCCTGCCCTAGCCCACCCCAGCCAGGAAGCATCTTTTTCTGTTCGTCCAATCCGACACGCCCTCTAATTTGGATTCTGATTATATTTGCACCTTTGCCACTTATTTATCAGCAGTCACTGTATCTGTCCTATTTTCCAAACCGGATCGTGGGCCCCTGAGAAGGACAACGCTGCACATTGCGTGTGCGGCCTGGCTTCGGCCAGGAGATCCTTCCCTGTGCTGCTCTAAACAAGGGGCAGGTCCCCCTCTGCGCAGATAACTCCATCCCCGTTCCCCGGAGCATCCTGCTTCCCTCGCAGAACTGCTTTCCCCTTGGTTCCATCCGAGGTCACCGGACCTATACAGATTCTTGATACCTCTTTGCCTTTTAGAACTGGGGGGTGCCAGCCGTGGTGGAAACCCCGGGCCCGGGGCTGGCTGCCGCTCTGAGGCCGTCAGACCAGAGGAGTTCTCGTATCTCCTAATAGCTCTCATGGCCTAACATCCCCTCGTAGCCCGAATAGGCTCTGATTTTTTGTTTTCATTGTTACACCTGCCTCCTGTGATCGCCAGAGACAGTCTAAGGCTCAAGCCAGGTAACCACTGGCTATAAAGGACTTGAGTGTCCCTTTCACTGAAGCCACCAAATAGCTGTCCTGACCACAGGGTGTCTTGGTTTCCTAACCAGCTATTGAAAAGAGCCTGCATTTATTGGGTGCTTAGTACATGCCAGGCGTCGTTCTAAGCATTTCCTGAATAGCACAGAACTTAATCTTCACGGCAGCCGTGCTAGGATGTGCACTTTTATACCCATTTCACAGGTGAAGAGATTGAGGCACAGAAAACTTCAGTGACTTCCCCTCAATACTACAAGAGGAGCCTGGCTAGTAGAAACCATCCTGACTAAGCCCCTGTTCCCTTCTGCCCAGGCATCCGGAATCCACAGGGAACAGTCCATGTCCGAGACAGTCCTTGTCAGAGGACTGTGCAGACACTCTGGGGGAGGAGAGACTCTGGGTAGCTGACGGGCCAAAGGACAGCCTTCTCCGGGGGTCCCTGAGGGGTCCAAGAGGAAAGCAGAAGCTTACCTGGATCAGTTTCATGGGGTTTGTCCACTGGAGGATGGTCTTCTTGACCGAGAGGCCTTGTATTGACTTGTAGACCACGTCCAGCTGGGGGTGGACGGCATACACCCCATCCAACGTTTTCACGAACTGCTCGGACACCATCACGTTCTGGGCAAGGAGACGGGCTCGTCACGGGGAGAGCACCGCCACTGAGCCATCTGCCGCCCAGACCAGTGTCCCAGCCACGCCGGGCAGAGTGCTCCGTCTTTCCAGGGAGCTCTGCGGGGCTGCTTCCAGGCTGGGGTGGTTCACGGTGTTTAGAGCTCGCGGCTTAGCGTGTAAGCCTCCCAGGTGATTGTCAGATGTCCCATTTGTCACACACCATCACCTCAGCTCCTCTCCCAGACGGCAAGCGTAAGGGGCCACGTGTGACAGAGGAGACGACGAGATGGGGCTGCGAGGCTGGCCCCGAAACATGGCAGGTCCATCTCCGCACCAGTGTGGGTCTTCAGACCAGGTGCCCTGGAAGAGGACCCTCCTTCCCATCCGGGCACGGCTCCAGACGCACCGGGAACTCCCTGGTGGAGGTGCCCGGGGAGCGGGGTTCCAGGCCGCAGGACAGAATGTGTTCTGAGAAACAGCGTTTGACCAAACCTGGCCTCCACGGGCGTGATCAACCTGCTTCATTCCTCAGGGGTGGTTCTGAGCACCTCCTGCCTTCCAAAGCATGAAGCCCATGCTCCAGGGCTGCAGATTTACCCTCTCCCCTTTGTAGATCGTCTAGAGAAAGTTCTAGCAGCATCTACAATGAAGGAATCCCAACACCACTTAGCGTTATGGCAGCATGGTTGACAGAAGGGAAGGAAAAGGCTAGTTCAGGCCCATTGGTTCTGGGAGGCTTGTTAAGTGGCAATGTGATCCCAGCTCGTGGGTTTACCGGTCACCTGGGGCCGACACAGCACCATTTCTAACATTCCCTCAGACACGCCAGGGCGGGGCCTGGCTCCCCGCCGTCCAACCAGCTCTGTGGGAGGGAACACCACACATCCACACAGTCTGGACCTGCGGCTGAGACTCAGGCAGGGCAGGGCGGGACGAGGGCAGCACTGTGGGCTGCAAGGTCAGAGCTGTAGGGTGAGGGTAGAGAGAGGGCCTCCGACACAAAGACCCATGAGCACAAGAAGTCTGGGCAGGGAGGAAGGGGAGAGGGAACACAGTGAAAAGAAAATAGGGATGTGTTTTAAGATTTCATGATCTGTGGCAAAACTTGAGTCAAAATGTCCTTATTATTCAGATCCAAGGAGCTTGGGTTTAAATATTTAAAATATCATCACTAATATAATTGCAAGGCATTAAACATTGTATTTGTGTGGCATTAAAAAAAAAGTACCACTGTACCTTTTTAGGACTCAAGAGTAGGAGGCAGAAGCCCTGGGTTTACTCCTTGCTGTGCTTCTCACTTGCTGTGTGGTCCTAGGCAAGGGACCTAACCTCTCTGTTTTTAGTTTTATTTTATGTAAAATGGGAAAATGAAGAAAAGTTCTTGTTATGGGTTGAATTGTGTCCTCACCAAAAAAAAAAAAGATCACTTGAGGAGGAAAAAATGGCGGCGGAGTGAACGGAGCTACACAGACCATCTCCCAGAACCAAACTGGAATTACAACTATAACACAGACAAATCGACGGGAAAAACCAACAGAAAAGCAGCTTGGAGGACCATACAACGAGGGACACTGACTCGATCCCGGTAGGCTTGCGAAGGCGCGAGACGGGGCTGGGAGCCCACGGTCGGCAGCTCGGCAGCGGCCTCAGCTGGGAGCGGCGCCCGCGGGTTACACTCCCAGGCGGCTCCACAGCGCAGCCGGGACAGAGGCTGAAACAGCCACAGCCACTCACCTTGGGCTCCGGCGGAGGGAGGGCAGACTGGACTGGAGCTGTGTCGGGACACTGGGGGTCTGGAGGGCGCTCGGAGCTTTGGCTGAGTGCAGCCACTCAGGACGGTGGCCACATTGCTTCTTCCCAGGGCTCTGAGGAGAGGCAGCAGCCCCTCCCTCGGAGATCCAACCCCACCCTGTGGGCCATTGAAGTGCTAATTGAGGCTCACTAACTACCAGCATCTGCCCCACCCTCGGGAAATCCCCTTGTGCTAAGCACCTGAGGGAGCTTTTCAATCAACTGACAACCCAAAACTCATCAAGTAACCTAGACTGCTAGCCTCCAGGCAAAAAGCTAGAGGATAACAGTACGTTTCCTGGGCTGGCAACTTTAACCAGGAAAGTACAACTATAACACTTGACAGTGGTGTTCAACGTGGGTCCTCCCTCACTCATCTAAACACAGGAGAGGGAGCCACAAACAGCAGAACACCAACACCCACAGGGAAAACTTGACAGGCTCCAAAGCCCACCGTGATAGCCAAAATGGTGAAACACAGAAACAGAAGCCAAATGAAAGAGCAAGAGACCTCCACCGAAGATGAGATCAATGTGGAGCAATTAGGCATGTTAACAGAGTTAGAATTCAGAGCCATGATCTTGAGGAAGCTGAACAGCATGAGTAAGGACATAGAGACACTGAAAATAAGCCAATTGGAAATTAAAAACCAACAAGAAGAGATAAAAAATGATATATCAGAAATGAAAAACACATTGGAAGGTTTAAAAAGCAGAGCAGAGGAAGCTGAGGACTGGATCAGTGAATTAGAAGACAGGGTAGAAAAAATCAACCAATCAGAAAAACAAAAGGAAAAAACTATTAAAAAACAGGAAGACAGCTTAAGAGAACTATGGGACAACTGGAAACATAATAATATTCGCATCATAGGAGTCCCCGAAGAAGAAGAAAATGAGCAAGGGATAGAGAATATATTCAAAAAAATAGTGAGAGAAAACTTCCCTAATTTGGTGAAGGAAGAAGGCATTCAAGTTCAAGAAGCACAGAGAGTCCCAAGTAAGAAGAACCCAAACAGGCCCACACCAAGACACAGAGTAATTAAAATGCCACAAATTAAAGACAAAGAGAATCCTAAAAGCAGCAAGAGATAAGCAACAGGTTACCTACAAAGGGAACCCCATAAGGCTCTCAGCTGACTTCTCACAAGAAACACTACAGGCCAGAAGAGAATGGCATGAAGTAATCAAAGTAATGAAAAACAAGAATCTGAATCCAAGACTACTCTACCCAGCAAGGCTATCATTCAAAATAGAAGATCAAATAAAGAGCTTCCCAGACAAAAAAGGCTAAGGGAATACATTAGCACCAAACCAGCACTGCAAGAAATGTTAAAAGAACTGCTGTAATTAGCAGTAGAAATGGGAAGAAAAATAGAACCACACTAAACAAAAATGGCAATAAATAAGTACATATCAATAATCACCTTAAACGTAAATGGATTGAATGCTCCCATAAAAAGACACAGAGTAGCTGATTGGATAAGAAAGCATGACTCATCTATATGTTGTTTACAAGAGACCCACCTCTCAACAAAAGACTCACATAGGTTGAAAGTGAAGGGATGGAAAAAATTTTCCAAGCAAATGGAAAGCAAAAAAAAAAGCTGGGGTAGCAGTTCTCATATCTGATAAAATAGATTTCAAAATGAAGACCATAACTAGAGACAAAGATGGCCACTACATAATATTGAAAGGATCTATCCAACAGGAAGATATAACCTTGATAAACATATATGCACCCAATATAGGAGCACCAAAATATATTAAAAATCTTCTGGAGGACTTCCAAGGAGAAATCGACAACAATACAATCATAGCAGGGGACTTCAACACCCCGTTGACAGCACTGGATAGATCCTCTAGGCAAAAAATTAGCAAGGAAACAGAGACTCTAAATGAAACACTAGACCAAATGGATTTAATAGATATCTACAGAGAATTACACCCCAAAACTACAGAATACACATTCTTCTCAAGTGCACATGGGACATTCTCAAAGATAGACCACATGATAGGACACAAACTAAATCTCTACAAGTTCAAGAAGATTGAAATCATATCAAGCATCTTCTCAGATCACAATGGCATGAAACTAGAAATCAATTGCAACAAGAATATGCAAAGACATTTCAACACATGGAGGCTAAATAGCATGATATTAAACAATGAATGGGTCACCGAGGAGATCAAGGAAGAAATTAAAAACTTCCTGGAAACCAATGAAAATGAACACACAACACAAAATCTATGGGATGCAGCGAAAGCAGTTCTGAGAGGGAAGTTCATAGCACTACGGGCCTACCTCAAAAAACAAGAAAAATTTCTAATTGACTGTCTAACCTCACAACTTAAAGAATTAGAAAGCAAACAAAAAGAAAACCCCAGAGCAAGTAGAAGGAAGGAAATAGTAAAGAGCAGAGCAGAAATAAATGACATAGAGACCAAAAAAACAATTCAAAGGATCAATGAAACAAAGAGCTGGTTTTTCGAAAAGATAAACAAGATTGATGGACCCTTAGCTAGACTCACCAAGAAACAAAGAGAGAGAACCCAAATACACAAAATCAGAAATGAAAGAGGAGAAGTAACAACCGACACCATGGAAATACAAAAGATCATTAACAACTACTATGAACAACTATATGGCAACAAATTCGACAATCTAAGCGAAATGGACAAATTTCTAGAAACACACAGTCTCCCAAAACTATTCCCGGAAGAGATAGAAAACTTGAACAGACCAATAACAACTAAGGAAATTGAAGAGGTAATCAAGACTCTCCCAGCAAACAAAAGCCCAGGCCCAGATGGCTTCACGGGGGAGTTTTACTGAACATTCAAAAAAGAACTAACACTCATTCTCCTCAAACTATTTCAAAAAATTCAAGAAGAAGGAAGACTTCCAAACACGTTCTATGAGGCCAGCATAATTCTAATTCCAAAACCAGAAAAAGACACTACGAAGAAAGAAAACTACAGGCCAATATCCCTGATGAACATAGACACCAAAATCCTGAACAAAATATTAGCAAATCGGATCCAGCAATACATCAAAAAAATTATTCACCATGACCAAGTGGGATTCATTCCAGGGATGCAAGGCTGGTACAATATTCGCAAATCAATAAACGTGATACACCACATAAACAAAATGAAGAATAAAAACCACATGATCATATCAATAGATGCTGAAAAAGCATTTGACAAAATCCAGCATCCATTTCTGATAAAAACGCTCAGCAATGTAGGAATAGAGGGATCATATCTCGACATAATAAAGGCCATATATGAAAGACCTACAGCCAACATCATACTCAATGGACAGAAACTAAAAACATTTCCCTTAAGAACAGGAACAAGACAGGGATGTCCACTTTCGCCACTCTTATTTAACATTGTACTGGAAGTCTTAGCCACAGCAATCAGACATGAAGAAAAAAATAAAAGGGATCCAAATTGGAAAGGAGGAAGTGAAACTGTCATTATTTGCAGACGACATGATATTATACATAGAAAACCCTAAAGACTCCTTCAAAAAATCTACTAGACTTAATAAACGAATTTGGCAAAGTAGCAGGATACAAAATTAACGTCAAGAAATCGACGGCATTCTTGTACACCAATGACGAACTCACAGAAAGAGAAACTGAAAAAACAATCCCATTTACCATCGCGCCAAAAAAATTACGATACCTAGGAATAAACTTAACCAAAGAAGTAAAGGACCTATTTGCAGAAAACTACAGGTCACTGAAAAAAGAAATAGAGGAAGATATAAAAAAGTGGAAGCACATACCCTGTTCATGGATTGGAAGAATTAACATCATTAAAATGTCCATACTACCCAAAGCAATCTATAGATTCAATGCAATCCCCATCAAAATACCAACGACATATTTCATAGAACTAGAACAAATACTTCAAAAGTTCATATGGAACCAAAAAAGACCCCGAATAGCCACAGCAATCTTGAAAAGAAAGAACAAAGTAGGTGGGATCACAATACCAGATATCAGGTTATACTACAAAGCGACTGTAACCAAAACAGCCTGGTACTGGCACAAGAACAGGCATATAGACCAGTGGAACAGAACTGAAAACCCAGAAATGGACCCAAGGCAATATGCTCAATTAATATTTGACAAAGGTGGCAAGAGCATACAGTGGAGTAAAGACAGCCTCTTTAATAAATGGTGTTGGGAAAATTGGACAGCTACATGCAAAAAAATGAAACTAGACCATCAACTTACACCATACACAAATATAAACTCAAAATGGATAAAAGACTTAAATGTGACCCGTGAATCCATAAAAATTCTAGAAGAAAATGTAGGCAACAAAATTTCGGACATCATACAGAGCAGAATTTTCACTGATACATCACCTAAGGCAACAGAAATAAAGGAGAAAATGAACACATGGGACTACATTAAACTAAAAAGCTTCTGCACAGCAAAAGAAACAATCATCAAAATGGAAAGGCAACCCACTGTATGGGAGAACATCACTGCCAATGATGTATCAGATAAGGGGTTAATTTCCAATATATATAGAGTGCTCCTACAACTCAACAAAAGGAAGACAAAGAACCCAATTAAAAAATGGGCAGAGGAGCTGAATAGACACCTCTCTAAACAGGACATACAAATGGCCAAGAGACATATGAAGAAATGCTCAACATCACTAAGCATCAGAGAGATGCAAATTAAAACAACAATGAGGTATCACCTCACACCTGTCAGAATGGCCGCCATCAACAAATCATCAAACAACAAGTGTTGGCGCTGGTGTGGAGAAAAGGGGACTCTAATACACTGCTGGTGGGAATGCAGACTGGTGCAGCCGCTATGGAAAACAATATGGTGCTACCTCAAAAAATTAAAAATTGAACTTCCATTTGACCCAGTGATCCCACTGCTGGGAATATACCCTAAGAAGCCTGAAACACCAATCAGGAAGAATATATGTACCCCCATGTTCATAGCAGCACTATTTATAATAGCTAAGATCTGGAAACAGCCCAAGTGTCCACCAGTAGACGAATGGATAAAAAAGCTGTGGTACATATACACAATGGAGTACTATGCAGCGGTAAGAAAGAAAGATCTCTTATCCTTTGAGACAACATGGAGGGACCTGGAAAGTATTATCCTAAGTGAAAGAAGCCAAGCAGAAAAAGACAAATACCACATGATCTCACTTATATACGGAATATAATGAACATAACAGTCTGAGGAATACAGTAGACCCAGAAACATGGAAGTAGGGCACAGACTGACATCCCTCAGAAGAGGGGGTGAGGGGGTGGGGGGGTGGGAAGAGATAAACCACAGAACTTATATGCATGTATGCATGACCAATGGACATGGACAACTAAGCCGGGGACGGGGCGGAGGTGGGGTGGGGTGGGGGGTGCCAATGGGGTAAAAAGTTAAAATATCTGTAACAAAAAAATAAATAAATAATTCATAAAGAAAAAAAAAAAAAGATGTTGAAGTGCTAAACCTCAGTACCTGCGAATGTGACTTTATTTGGAAATAGGGTCTTTGAGTTAAAATGAGGTCATTAAGGTGGGCCTACTCTCATATGACTGATGTCCTTATAAAAAAGGGACGTTTGGCCAGTGTGGCTCAGTGGTTGAGTGTCGACTCATGCACTGAGGGGTTGCCAGTTCGATTCCCGGTCAGGGCACATGCCCAGGTTGTGGGCCCGATCCCCAGTGGGGGGCATGCAGAAGGCGGCCAGTCAATGTTCTCTCTCATTGATGTTGCTATCTCTCTCTCTCTCCCTTCCTCTCTCTCTGAAACCAACGAAGGAAAGAAAAGGGGATGTTTGGCTACAGAGGGAGACATGCACACAGGTGAGCCAGAAGGCAGAGGCTGGGTGACCATCTACCAGCTGAGGAAGGCCAACCATTGCCAACAACCACCAGATGTTAGAGGAGAGGCCAAGAATAGATTCTCGCTCATAGTGCTCAGAAGGAACCAGCCCTGCCAACACCTTGATCTTGGACTTCCGGCCCCCAGAACAGTGAGACAATGTGTTCCCACTGTTTAACCCAGCCGGCGCTTTGTTACAGCGGCCCTGGGACCTGCCTCCCAGAGCAGGATCACGGGAGCTGGCGGTGTGGAGTCACTCTGGGCCAATGCACAAAAGGGTAGACAAGCACAGGACCTAGTCATGATCAGCTGTCACTGTTAGGGTTCGGACAAGAGGGCCGCAGAGTGAAGTCCCTTCCTCAGGCTTTCCACGTCCATCAGGGATTTTTTTTACCCCTCAAATACTGCTCTGAGTAGAGTAGGCGAAGTTATGAAATGAAAACACAAGTTGGCCCGTGTTTCCCTACTCAGATCCTAAAAGCCCTGTGATTCTGGGAACGTTCTGGGGTTCAGGACCATCCATCAGCGAAGCTGGCGTCACGGTCTGTGCCGGGCGCCCCCTGCCTTTTTCCTGGTGTTTCCCCATCTCTGCTCCCAGGCCCACGCGCAGGCGCTCCGGGGCCCCGATCTGGGACGACTGCCGGCTCCTCCGGTCGGAGGGAGCCCTGGGGGGCGGGGCTGCACTCCAAGGGGCGGCCTTCCCATGGCGCACGTGTGGGAGGCCTGTGAGGGACACAGCTGTTGGCACCTGCCGACACAGCGTGGCCGCGGTAACTGGTGCAGGCAACTACCATTCGATTACTTACGGAAATGTCAAGGTTTTCCATCTTGGATTTGGGGTTCTTCTTGATGGACAAGATAAGTAAAGTAGCCCCGTCTATGCTTATAGGGTTCAGGAAAAGCTGTGGGAAGAGGGGGAGACAGGAGGAGGTTGAGAGGGGGACAGAAGGGGCTGGCTCAGCGCACGGCCTCCATTTCTTTTTGTTTATCCTCACTCAAGAACATTTTTGCATTTATCTTCAGACAGAGCAGGAGGGAGAGAGGGAGGAAGAGAGAGAGAAACATCGATGTGAAAGGGACACATCGACCTGTTGCCACCCACACGATCCCAACTGGGGCCGGGGACAAACTGCAACTGAAGTACGTGCCCTTAGCGGGAACCGAACCCAGGACTCTCTAGTCTGCGGGCTGACGCTCTAACAGCTGAGCCAAACTGGCCAGGGCATGGCTTCCATTTCTTTTCATCAAATCACAATCTCTGTCTTTCACCCAGACTTCTCTGTAAGCACCTGTCTCCCTGTCCATCTGTTTGTCCAATCATCCTTCTGCCTGTCCATCTTACTGTTCATCCATCCAATCCATCCACCCACCTGTCTATCCCACTGCCCGTCCATCCATCCATCCATCCATCCAACAGGCATTTACTGGGGGCCCTCCATGTGCAGTTGCTGGGGTAAGTGCTGAGGGATGCACAGCAGACTTGAGAAGGTCTCTGCCCTCAGGTAGCTTATGCCGTAGAGGTGGACACAGGCACATAGGTCAATGGCATCAGAAATGCGACGATGACAGTGACAGAGGTACACACTGGTATTGCAGGAGCATGGACGGGGACATCCAGTGCAGAGGAGGGGACACTTGAGCAAAGCCTTGCAGGATGAGTGGGGATTAGTGAGGTATGGAGAAGTGGGGGTGAAATAGGACCAGAGGAGAGAATAAGATGCAGCAAAAGCCCAGGCCGGTGTGACTCAGTGGTTAGAGCACCGGCCTGCAAACCACAGGGTTTTGGGTTCAATTCCCCATCAAGGGCACATATCTGGGTGGCAGTTCAATCCCCAGCCCCAGTCAGGGTTGTGCGGGAGGCAGTCAATTGATGTCTGTCTCACATCGATGTTTCTCTCCCTTCCTCCCTCCCTTCCACTCTATCTGAAAATCAATTGAAAAATACCCTCAGGTGAGGATTAACAAAAATAAATAAATAAGATGCGGCAAAGACGACACGGTAAGGCAGTGCCAAGCAGCAGAGGTGTTGAGGAAATGGTAACGTCCTGTGAGCAGGGCAGAGAGCACGAGGCCACAGAGCTGGCCCATCACACAGGGCCTGTGGCTTGGCTAAGTACTCGGGGACTATGCCAGCGGTGCTGGGAGCCCCCGAAGTGTGGCGTGGACGCTGACAGCTGGAGCCTGGAGCCCCGCACTCTGCTTACTCGCTCTCTGGCTTTGCGTGAATTCCCTGACCTCTGCGTACCTCTCGTCTAGGGCTGCTCTGAGGATCAGCAAGTCAGTTCAAGCAAAGCATTCAAAAGAGTGCCTGGTAGAGCGTAAGCAGCCGATGAATGTTAGTTATCCTGTTGAAGGCTTTCAGCTAGGTTCCATGATGAGGCAGGCTGACGTTTTTATTGAGCATCTACTGTGTGTCAGCGGTTTCCCAGGCTCTGAAGAAAGAGGGACGTGAGCCCCGCCCTCATGGGGCTCTGGAGTTCTTCGCTTGCCTCACTTCCCCGGGGAACTGTTTTCCCAAGACCAGAGGAAGGAGGGCTGGGTGGATGTGGAGAGCAGTAATTCTTCGGGTGGCAAAGCGAACGTGTCTCCCACCTGTGACCCTACTGAGAGTTATAACTTAAGCTTTTTTCTTTCTCACTTTCATTTTTTTTTTTTTATCCTCACCCGAGGACATTTTTCCATTTTTTGTACAGATAGAGTGGGAGGGAGAGAGAGAGAGAGAAACATCGACGTGAAAGGGACACATCGAGTGGCTGCCACCCGCACGACCAACCAGGGCCGGGGACAAACTGCAACCGAAGTACGTGCCCTTAGCGGGAACCGAACCCGGGTCTCTTCGGACCGCAGGCCGACGCTCCAACCGCTGAGCCAAACCGGCCAGGGCTTCTTTCTCACTTTCAAAACATTTTTAAAATTTGAAATATATTTATTATACTTGGTCATTGTAGAAAAAATTTTAAAAGAGGTATAAAACATGTTCAATTCCCCTAAATCTTGATTAACCAGGAACAACTTTTGCTGCCATTTTGTTGAGGCAACTTTTTAGTCTTCAAGTTCAGGTTCTCTGAACTTTCCTTGGCTCCAAGGGCCACCGAGGCCGAGTCGTTTGCAGGCTGGGCCGGTCTCGCTTCTCTGAGGTACACTTGGTCCCACGCTAGCCAAGCCGGGGTCTCAGCTCTCCCGGTCACGAGATGGCTGACCGGCCCGGCCCGGCCTCCACTGGTCAGAATCTGACTTCCTCTGGTCACCTTAGCAGCCCTAAGGTGGTTGTCCCGCGGATAGAAGCTCATGTTCCCTGATTCCTGCCATTCTTCTTCCACCAGAACCCCCACCTCTGTGGTCCCCCCGAGCCACCCCCACATCTTGCGGGAGTCGGGGTTGCAGTGGACAAGCCAGGGAGACCTGACTTGCCTCTGCCTCCTGTTGGCTGCGTGGCCCGAGCAAGTCACACAGCCTCAGTTCCCTCATCTGACAAGCGGAGCTAATGGAGCCACGTTGGAGGGTTGGGCTGTGAGTAAGGAGGCGCATCACCCGACACAGGACGTGACTCATGGTGGGAGCCCTAGAGGGGATCCTCATCTGTCTTCTGTTTCCCCACTTCCCAGAGCTTCTATGTTAGAAATTCACATCCATCAGCAAATTATTTTAAAATGAAACATGTCTTCATTCATTCATGTAATAAGTATTCACCGGGCACCTACTGTATGCCCAGCACTGTGTGAAGTACAAGGGCTATAATAATGGGCAGCACGGACACTGTCTTTGTTCTCATGAAGCTCCCACACTAGTTGAAGACGGTCATTCAGATGAGGGTGTAAAGAGAAACTCTGGCAAGTTCTGCATGAGGGGTGAACAGGGTCCCCGAGGAGGCGCTGCTCACGCTGCAGTCTGAGGCAGAAAGCAGTGCAGTAAGTGGGGAACATCAGCCAGGCAGAGAGCACTGCAGGCCCAGGAGGGGCATGGGCAAGGCCCTGGCAGGACCAAGGAGGTGAAAGAGGCCCCAAGGCCTTGGGTGGGAGCAAGGGAAAGCATGGGGTGAACTGAGGTTGGAGCAACACACAGAGAACTGGATTTCAGCAGCAGAAGGCCATGGCGGGGGCGGGGGTGGGGGCGGGGGGCGTCTAAGCTGGAGGAGAGTAGATGGTGGTGGGGGGTGGCACATGGAAGTCAGATTTATGCTCAAGAGCCTGCAGGAGACCCAAACGGGAGGAAGGAAGACCAGTTAGGAGATGAGCACTGGCAATGCACCAGGTGAGAGCAGAGGGTGACATCGGGTCTGCGGCAGAGGGACGGCCAAGAGTATGTGCACACGTGAAGCACAAGGTGGATTTTCCAGTGACTGTCTTCAGCAACATCCAGCCCCATTACCTTGCTGCCCCCATCCCAACACACACAGACACACACATACCCACACATGATGCACGGATACATACATGCATGCACACCCATGGACACACACACATGGATGCAGGGGCACACACAGAGAGATGCACACACAAAACGGCCCCTTCCTAGCTAGGTAAAGACTCTACCTTCAGAACTTTGAGGCTCTCATTGAACTCCAGTCCTTTGCTGATTTTGGAGACCCCTTCAGTGCTGATGTCATTGCTGCTGATGTCTAGGGAGGCCAGGCAGCTGTTGAGTCTGAGGACCTCTGCTAGGGCCGCAGCCCCCTCGTTCCCAAAGCCATTCATGGAGAGATCCAGTGTTTTCAGGGTGATGTTAGCCTCCAGGGAGCGGGGAGAAGAGACCCGGCGTCAGGGTTGCATTCTACCTCCTGCTGGCTGGGAACTCAGGAGAGATCTCTGCCAAATCTTTCCAGATCTCCCCGCTGGGCTGTGTCCCAAGTATTCCTGAGACTCATTCCTTTTGGGTCTTGGTCATTCCTTACCCCATAATTAAACTGCTCTCTTGAAGTACCCCCAAAGATGCCACCTGGGCCCTAGCAGGGGGCATTTTCCTAGATAGAATTTATACTGAAGAATAATGTGCATCTAGGCATTGTGGGAAGAGATCAGCAATGTGGAGAGCTCAGTACAACCGCATCAGTGGTGACCATGAGAAGGGTTCAAGATGATGGGGCGGGACCTCCCCAGCACCCCTTCCCTGGGACTCAACACCACTCCCAGGGAGCACCTTACTTTGAGGCCATTGCTCAAGGCCATGGCCGCCTGTGAGCAGAGATGATTCCAGCTCAGGTCCAGTGACAGGAGCCCTACATTGAGGGCTAGAGGAGAGGGGGAGTCGACTTAGCATCCCCTGCATCCCAGAGAGCCCACTCTCAGGGTTGGCAGATATCCATGCCGCTGGGCCAAAGGATTACTCAATGCTCATGAAAAGTAAGACCACAAGGCAACATTTTTCCAGTTACTCATTTAAACACAAAATTGTAAGATGATCTCCAGTGCTGACAATGATGAAGTAAATTGATCATACTCGTATATACATTGCAGGTGGCAAGCGAATTAGTACTATTTGGCAAATATCATCTGGTCACAGGTATTTTCCTATTAAAATGTGTGCACCCTATCACACTGCAGCACCACCTCGGAGACTCCTGCTGGGGAGACAGGGCATGAGAAGAACTATATACTTGTAGCTGTTTGCTGTGGCATCACTTATCAAAGTAAGGCTGTGGCTCATGGGGGACGGGTAAAGTGTGTCACAAATATCCAGCTGGTGGAATATTATGCCACCATTAGAGTAGATGGAGATAGCCTGGCAGAGGGGTATCTACGCAGGGAGTTTGTGATGAGCGTGGTGCGTTCTAGTCGTGAAGTCGTGAAGTCGCTTATGCCGACACCTGCGGGAGCCCAGGTGGCTCCAGAATTTCCCTACTGTTCAGCTTCAGGGACACAGTCCACTGGAAGTAGCGAGGCAGCAGGCTTGTCTAGAAGCCAGGTTTGCATAGAAATTGCACTATTTTACATATTAAATTTAAAGATGCCATTATTTACATGTTACATTGGGTTGGGAAGACATCCCCTTTAAACACATTATCATTGTTATTTTTATTTGGGGAAGGTGACACCGTTGAAGTCAAGGCTAACACACTGCCGCGTGGAAGGAACTGCCTTCAGGCCGCAGGCTCCGGAAAACGCCTTACTCTATTTTAAGAAATTTTGTTTTTAAGTGGGCAGGGTACTGTGTACTGTGTACTGATCATGTCTCTCTCTTGTGCCAACCACCAGGATGTATTTTCCGTCAAGTGCACAACCCCTTATATTAGTTTGAGAACAAACTTTCTCCATTCCTCTCTCTCATTCTCTTCTTACCCTTCTTTCCCCCTGTCAATTCCTTCACGCAGTTACACCTGCACACCTGCATCTCTCAAATGGCCACAAAACTTACGCTTTAACCCCGTTCTCCCCGCTCGCTCGCTGGGGGCCCTTGGGCAGGTTCCTTCTCCTTCCCTGGCTTCTGTTTTCTATGTAAATGGAGAATCAACCTGTGCGAGAGCTGTGAGGATGGTGTAAAAAGCCCAGCACCCTGCCTGTCACACGGCAATCACTTAATACTTGGTAGCTTCGATGATAATGACTTTAAAAGCTGCAGACACAGAATGAGGAGGACCGCTTAAGAGAGAATGTTGTCTCACTTTATGTTTTAAAAATCAAAAGTTTCCAAATGTTTGAAAATAAGTTTTCAGACGGAGACTGGGACTGCCCGACAAGTCTTTTACACCTGGTTCCTCCCTCCTAAATCCTAGTTCATACTTTCTCCCTGTCCTCTAACCTGGCGGCCTGGGCCGCTCTCAGCTGGGACCTCGCCTCCACTTCGGGCGGCGGTGGGCCTGGAGAGCTCCTCCCTCCACCTCCGCCGGCCCGCACCTGCGCCCCCTGGCGGCTCCTCCCTTCTAGGGACTGGCCGGTCGCGCCGCTCTCCGAGGCGACCCCTCTGCTTTTGTTCCGGTGCCCCTGCCTCTTCAAGGACATTGCTCCTGTACGTATCTCCTTCTTCTGCACCACCAGTCTCTTCTTCTTTTCCCCTCTGAGCATTTGACGCCCTCAAACACCTTTCTGTCCTCCCTGTCACCCCATCTTTCTGTTCCAGCCTGGTCCCCCGAGCTTCTGGAGTTGCCCTTGCCACTTCTCTGCCTCCCATTTTCAACTCACCCCACGCACACCTCCGCACTCGGGATCCACACGCACCCACTTCGCCCCGGCGCTTGTCAGGGGCGCCCGTGACCTCCACGTTACCAAGTCCTGTGGTCACTTTTCTGTCCTCCTCTGCTTTGACTTCCAAACAGCACTTGACCCAGCTGATCGCTATCCCCTTCTTGAAATACTGTGTGCCCCCCCCTTTTTTTTTATCCTCACCCGAGGACATTTTTCCATTTTTTGTACAGATAGAGTGGGAGGGAGAGAGAGGAAGAGATATAGAGAGAGAAACATCGATGTGTCCCTTTCACATCGAGTGGCTGCCACCGCACGACCAACCAGGGTCGGGGACAAACTGCAACCGAAGTACGTGCCCTTAGCGGGAACCGAACCCGGGTCTCTCCGGACCGCAGGCCGACGCTCTAACCGCTGAGCCAAACCGGCCAGGGTTGTGTGGCTCCTCAATACCTCACTTCCCCTCTTATTCCACTGGTCACTCCTCAGCTCTTCCTGCCGCTGGGCAGCACCTAAAAATGTTGGGGTGACCCGGGAAGTCAGTAATGGCCACCTACTCAACTCTATCTCCACTCCTCACCTGGACCATCGCACCTCGCCCCATGGTTTCAAATACACCTGCATGCCTTTGGCTCCCACATGCATTTGTCCGGTCCTGACCAAGCTCTAAACCCACATGGCAAACTGCCTGCCTGACATCTCCACGTTTGTGTTGGACGAGCATCGCAAACATCACATGGCCCAGATGGGAATCCTGGCTCCTAACTCCTGCCCCTCCACACCTGTGACTCCCTGCGTTTTCCCCATCTAAGAAAGTGACACCGCCATCTGACCCGTATCTGAAACAAAATAACCATGAGTCTTTCTCTTTCTCTTTCCCTCATTCTTCGCGTCAACAAGCCCTTTTGGCTTTACTTCCAACATAGACTCTGAATCCATCCACTCTGTTTATACCACCTGCTCCCTTAGCCCAAGCTGTTATCCTGTCCTGCCCAGACACCACATGGGCCTCCTGATTGGCCTTCCTCCTTCCAGTCTTGTTCTCCTAGATTGCATTCTTCATATAGAAGGTCTAAAACTATAAATCAAACTGGGTCACTCCCCACATTCGCATCCTACAACGACTTCTCATCACATGTAGAATAAAATCCAGACTTCGTACATGTCCAAGTCCCCAAAGAGTGACATGAGTGTCTGCAGGCCACTTTGATGACCTCTTCTCCTTCTATTCTCCTCCCCTGGCCACTCTCCAGTCACACTGTCCCCTGCCCCCCACGTTCCTCAAACATGCCAAACTCGATTCTTTCTGTCTGGAATGCTGAGCTTCCAACCTAGCATAGCTGTTTCTGCAATCACAGTCAGGCCTCAAAACAGACCCGCCTTCCCTGTGGGGCCTTCTCTCACCACCCACCTAAATACCCCAACATCCCCACCACTAAGAGTTTCCTCCCTTGTCTACTCATTTCACCAGGGATGGACATTTAGGAGCTTTCTATTTTTTTTCTTTTATAACAAGTTTGTAATGAACCTCCTTAGACATTTCTCTCTCTCTCTCTCTCTCTCTCTCTCTCTTTCTCTCTCTCTCCCTCTCTTTCTGTGTGTGTGTGTGTGTGTGAGAGAGAGAGAGAGAGAGAGAGAGAGAGCTTCTCTGAGACATGTAGACTAAAATATATACAGCTTCAATTTTACAAAATACTGTCAAATTGCTCTTCAAAGTGCCTTTACCTGGCAGTTTCTGAGTGTTCTTATTTCTCCCTGTGCTCACTGCACTGTATATTCTCTGACTTGAAAATTTTTCAGCTTTAGTAGATGACAAGGGGGAATCTTTTTGTTGATTTATGAATTTGTACTTCTTAATCCTTTCACCTTTTTCACCCATTCCCCAACCCCCCTCCCATCTGGCAACCAACAAAATGTTCTCTGTATCTATGAGTCTGTTTCTGTTCTGCTTGTTCATTTTGTTTGTAGATTCATTATTGATAGATATGTATTTATTGCCATTTTGTGGGCTCATATTTTTTATCTTCTTGTTCTTCACAAAGACCCTTCAACATTTCATGTAATACTGGTTTGGTGGTGATGAGCTCCTTTAGTTTTTTCTTGTCTGGGAAACTCTTTATATGGCCACCAATTCTAAATGACAGCTTTGCAGGATAGAGTAATCTTGGTTGTAGGTTCTTGCTTTTCATCACTATGAATATTTCTTGCCACTTCTTTGTGGCCTGCAAAGTTTCTTTTGAGAATTCAGTTGACAGTTTTATGGGAGCTCCTTTGTAGGTAACTAACTGTTTTCTCTTGCTGCTTTTAAGATTCTCTCTTTGTCTTGAACCTTTTTCATTTTGATGATGATGTGTCTTGGTGTGGGCCTCTTGGGATTCATCTTGTTTGGGACTTTCTCTGCTTCCTGGACTTGTATGTCTGTTTCCTTCACCAAGTTAGGGAATTTTTCTGTCATTATTGTTTTAAATAACTTTTCAATTTCTTGTTCTCTTTCTTCTCCTTTTGGCATCCCCATGATGTGAATGTTGGCACGCTTGAAGTTGTCCCAGAGGCTCCTTACACTATCCTTTTTTTGGATTCTTTTTTCTTTTTGCTGTTCTGATTGGGTGTTTTTTACTTCCTTATATTCTAAATCAATGGTTTGCTTCTTGGCTTTACCTACTCTACTATTGAATCTCTGTAAATTATGCTTTATTTCAGTTAGTGCCTCCTTCATTTCTGACTGCTTCTTTTTTATGCTCTTGAGGCCCACACTAAATTCATTGAAATTCTCACTAAGTTCATTGAGCATCCTTATAAACAGTATTTTGAATTCTGCATCTGTTAGATTGCTTATCTCCATTTTGTTTAGTTCTCTTCCTGGAGTTTTTGAACACTCATGTTTTATACTACAGAAATGCTGCAAATATCTACTCCCAGCTGTTGCTTGGCTTTTAACATTGCCCCAATGGCGTTTATCTTCCCCAGTTTTAAACCTATTGTTGTCAAATATACGAGTCGTTTTTGTTACAGTTTATACTCACTGTGTGTATGTAATAATCGTTAGCCTCCCTGAGGTCAGCAAATTATTTTTCTAGATGTTCCTCTAATCATTTTAAAGTTTTACTTCCCACATTTAAAATGTAGTTCATGTGTGGTTCACATCACATCTATAATTAGAACACTCAATAATAATAAAAACAGGAGATGCAGCTCTGACAAGGGACTGTTTGCCAAGTCCCTCCCCTTTGCTGGCCCCTCCCTTCATGGGGACTCACCCAGCATGTGTCCCAAGAGCTCCCCTCCCTTATCAGAGAATTGGTTGTGACTGAGATCTATTTCCTTAATTCGGTAATTGGCCTAGAGAAAAAAACAGTGGAGAGAGAGGTACAGTGGTCTTCTATGGGACTGCAAACACCTCGCAGATCTAAGGTCATTGTAATGAAGGGCTCCCACATACCCAAAATTAGGGGGACAGGGGCCTTACACTGAAGACAACTTCTTGTTCATTTTCTATTTGACCACTGATGACACCTGGGAGAGTTTACTGCCATCCAAACAGCTCCACCACTTGCTGTGGCTTTTGCCAGGATCAGCCAAGTCCAAACACTCACCAGCTCCTTAAACCATGCAAGTGGCCTCATTTCCCTATATCCGGAGACACCCCAGGTCCCCCAGATGTCCAAGGATATCTCCCGCATGGCTCAGCTGTACCCACCCCCTGCTTCTTACCGACAGGGCCTGGCAGAGCAGCTCTGCAGAGTCATCCTTGAAGTTATTTCCTGTAATGAAGGAGGGTGTCAGCAATGCCCGCCCCCCGGGTAGGGCTCCCTTACCCTCCCATAGCTCTGCCAGTCCCTTCCCTTTGGAACAATCAGGTAGAAAAGGTGGCAGGTACTTCAAGCAAAAATATGGACACAGAAGAAAACAGGAGAAAAAAGGGCAACTATGTATCATCCCCTTTACTGTTTCCTCCTTGCTCTGCCCTGACTGTCCAGGGAGTTCCGGGACCGGCACTATCCCCTGTGCACTATTGGCAGCATCAACCCCTGGCCTAGTGCCTAAAGTCTGTCACATTATAGAAAATGCCAATGGAGTTTAAACAGCAGAGACAGACCAGAAGGGGATGAGTGAGGAAAATCCAAGAGGCGCTGAAAAGCTCAGTAATCTCAATGAAAAAATACCTTAACATTTAAAAAAGTCAAAACCAACACAAAAACACCTGTGACAAACAAAAGTTTTAAATTTTAAATAAGGACAGGATCTGCTGTAACTTCGCAGCTAAGCCTCATTCATCTCACCCCACTCTGTCCCTTTTGGATGGTGTTTTTATTTAAAGTGTAGCTATTTTGTTCATTGCAGGTTATTTTATTTTATTTTATTTTTTTATCCTCACCCGAGGACATTTTTCCATTTTTTGTTCAGATAGAATGGGAGGGAGAGAGAGGAAGAGAGAGAGAGAGAGAAACATCTACGTGAAAGGGACACATCGAGTGGCTGCCACCCGCACAACCCAACCAGGGCCGGGGACAAACCACAATCGAGGTACATGCCCTTAGCGGGAACCGAACCCCGGTCTCTCTGGACCGCAGGCCGATGCTCTAACCGCTAAGCCAAACCGGCCAGGGCTGCAGGTTATTTTTGTATCAACTTTGACTTTTAAAAATATTGCATCAAGATATTATTACTTAGTTACTGAGCTTTCTGGTGCCCCTGAACTTGTGCCACCGAGGTGAGTGGCTCCCTTATCTTACCCTAGCCCCTGCCCTGCTAAGCAGTCTAAAAGATTTCTGGGACAAAAAATGACTTCTCCCCAAATTTCTCCTTTGAACCTTTAATAATCTTTGTATCTCTTGCACCTAAACCGTGCTTGGCACATCACAGGTGCTCAATAAATGCTTACAGAATGAATGAACGAACGAACAAATGAATGAACGAATACATCCATCAAAATACAAATACATCTTTGGCCGTGTCTGGTACCAGTGCAATAAAATGACATAAAAAACTAGCCAGTGGGTAAAATAAGGTGATTTTAGAATTCAGCAATTCAAGGAATGATTTGTTCAGCTATAATTTGTTCAAATACTGCTGCTTACCCATTCTCTTCTCCTTCTGGAACTCTTATTAGCTATATTGAGTCTATTCATTGTTTTATATTCTTTAACCTTTTATATTCTCTATATCTTTATCTTCTATGCTACAATGCTAAATAAAATATCCTTTTATCTGTCTTGTAGGTCACTAATTTTATTCCCCTATACCTAATTTGCTGTTGAATTTTTCCATTGAGTCTTTAATTTCAATGATTATGTATTTTTTATTTCCAGAAATTCTATTTTGGGGGAGATCTTTTTAAAAAATAGTGATTTGTCCTTGCATTTTTTAATTTTTTGTTTTCTTAATTACATTAAATATAGTTTATAGTTGGGTGCAAGATATCTGCTTGCAGTTTCACTTAGTTAATAGTGCTCCCATGCTGTTTAGAGGATACGTGATATGGTCACTCAATGTATAGTGTGTATCTGATCATTACATTTCTGAAGTTCTTGAGCCCGATGTTGCCACTTGTTGAATCTGATAACTCTCACTGTGTTTTGTTTCGATGTTTTGCAATTTTGGACTGTAAACGCATCTTTGGGAGAGCTTTATCTGTGGGAATCTCAAGCAGTATGGAGCATGGGTCAAGGGGTTGCTCCTCCAAATCTCCAAAGAAATGTGTTGCTGTTGCATGCTTCAGGGTATTACCAGCAGAGGATCACTGTGTATGTTAATTTCTTGCCTTAGTGATTCTAGGACCCTGCAGGTGGTGTAAATGCAAACCACACACCTGAGTGAGGGCAGGTCTGTGGGCACTAGAATCCTCAATGGACTTTCAGTTTTCTGTGAGACAATAAACTAATTAAAAGCAGGTCTACAATAGGGGGTCAAGTCGCAATAAATGCCATTAAGGGAAACCAAGCGGGAAGACAGCACAGAGAGGAACAGTAATGCAGAGGGCTGCGTCCACAGGATGGTCGGAGTACGCCCCCCAGGAGATGACATCTGAGCCGAGAGTGAATGAACAAGAGGGTGAGTCATGCTGAGATATCTGGGGGAAGAGGCTTTGAAGCAGAGACAGGAATGTTGCAAAGTGAGTCAGAAGTGGATTGTCCAGGAAAGGCAGGAGGCCAGTGTGGCCGTGGAGAGGGGGCCAGGATGACCGGAAGGGCTTGACAGGGTGCAGACACAGTGTTCTGGCCTCTGAAATCAGAAGGGCCTGGTCTGGTTCAGTTAAACTCTGATTCTGTCTGCCTGTCACCTTCTTGTTTTCTCCTTTCAATTTCCAATGTCCTCTCCCTCCTCTTCCGCAGGCTCACCTGACAGCTGAAGGTTAAAGAGCGAAGAGGAGTTTCTCTGGAGAAACTCTGAGATGATTTTGGCCCCCTCCAAACCAAGAGCATTGTCGGAAATGTTCTAAAAGGCAAGAAAACAGTTATGCATGTACAACTCCCAATAAAGGATCCTCATTCACAAATGGTGTCAGAGCGGGACTGACTTGAAACCTACACTAAGGGAATAGAGTCCCGGTGGGGGGGGGGAAGAGGGGTCCCGGAGTGAAAGGATGGGAAGGATTAGGGTGGTCCAAAGGAGAGAAGAATGCTAGGAGCCCAGCTTCTCTAGGGCCTCGTAGTTTCCTACCGCCACAGGGAACAGGGTCCCCCTGGCCAGCCTCTGATGAGAAGTCACTTCTGGAGGAGAGGGGCCCCCAGACTGGTTGCGGAAAGCCTGCAGCTGGCCTCGGCTCGGGTAGTGGTGGTGGGAACCAGCAGAGCAGGCACAGTACCAGCTCCTGGAGGTAGTAGTTCTCTTGCAGCATCTCCACTAGGCTCAGGGTGCCCTCCTCCATGATACAATTGTCTGCCACCTCCAGGGAGATCACAGTCGTGTTGGACTTCAGCCACGAGGTGTGGGGAGAAAGACAGAGGTGGTTGGTGACCAAGTCAGTTTCCTGACCTTGCCCAGACCCGTCCCCTCTCTTGGACATCCCAGCCCTGTCAAAGGATGTTGGAGATACAGGCTGGTCATTTTGGAGGAGTAGATAGGAACAGGAGAACAGTGCAGGAGATGAGCCAACCCAGTGATGGCTGAGACAATACAGGTGGGCAAAAGCAGGTTTATAGTTGTGAGTATGTGAAACACGGTTTATTCTTGTATTATTAATTATTGTATTTACTTGTATTACGACTGTAAACCCACTGTGCCCACCCCTATATATTTTATATTTATATTTTAGATGCATATTTTCTAGGGCAATATGCTTATTCTTGGCACCTCCACCAAAAGGGGCTCTGCAGGGGAATTTAGAAGAGGAACATTAAAACAAAGCCCTGAGTCCGGCTTAGTGGTTGACTGTTGACTCATGCACCAAGAGGTCGCTGGTTCGATTCCCGGTTAGGACACATGCCCGGGCTGTGGGCCTGATCTCCAGCGGGGGACATGCAGGAGGCAGACGATCGCTGTTCTCTCTCATTGATGTTTCTATCTCTCTCTCCCTCTCCCTTCCTCTCTCCAAAATCAATAAAGAAAAATAAATAAATAAAACAAAGCCCTGAAAAGTAAGAGGTACAGGATGAACAGAATGTATTTTAATTATTTAGCCTCAAGGAGAGAGGCCTATGACCTACTCCAAGATTTAGGAGAACTTGATGCATTAATAAGAGTGTTTAAGCCTAAGGCTTTAAACATACAGCATTTGCTGTGCCTGCTTCGACAGAATCCTTTCTTCTAGTTTAGGCTTCAGGCATTTCTGGTTCCCTCTTTTAGTCAGGACGTTGCCTTGGGCTATTTGGAAGCAGTTGGACTTAAATCTTAAATAAATCTCTAGATCCAAGCTAGTCTGCATTCCCACAGGAAGGAAATGACTGGCACTGAAGCATGAGGGATTGGGGTTAGCTCTAACTAGAACTTGTATTCTTCCCTTCCCCACTGAGCTCCCAGGGCAGAGGAGCACAGAGAACAGACACATGTTTGGATGTGAGCATTTTCAAAGCACACCACGCCTGGGAGAAGCAGCAGGCGGCAAGGAGACCTGGCTTCAGCAAAAGGGAGCACGTGGCCGGGTGAGTTGCTGCAATGTGGGGCGGTCTACCCAGGGCCTTCATGAGGTGTCTTCTGGTCTCAGCTCTCTGCTATGGGCAAAATTCCACCATGCTCCAGTCAAGGGAGATGGCTCAGGTGGCCTTCCAGTCTAGGTGTCATTTAGCAGTGTCCAGAAACAGGTCAACTGACCACATCCAGAGTCACCCTGGGACCCGCACAGCGTGTGGTGCAGCAGGCAGACCGATCAGCAACTCCGTTCACATCCATCTCACTCGGGCAAGTTCGTGCTGGCCGCCCTCTGTGCTGAGTGTTGGGGAAACGGGATGAACAGAGAACTGAGCTGCTCTCCAGGGTCCCCCACAAACCAAGTGCAAGCCTGGAGACAGGCGTTTGAGGAATAGAAGTGAAGAAGCGTGAAATACGATCCCTGCTATCAGGGCACCTTTCATCCTCACCAGGTAAACCCAGTGTGCAAAGGATCAAGCAGTGCACAAGATAAACAGAACCTGAGTTTACCACAATGTCGCAGTGATGAACTGTCAAATAAGTGACAGAGAATCAAGGAAGAAAAGCTCCCCCAAACAGGAACTGCTGTCACTAAGAAACACATGGCCCAGGTCCCGAGAGGATTTCATTATTATCCATTTCCCCCATAAAGCTCAGGAGGTAATGGTGCACTCCTAACACTTCATTAATCAGTCTTTCAAGGCTCAACACATTTCAAGATGGCTTTGTTCTTTCTCTGCTCGTCCCTTCCTCTCCTCCCCCTCCCCCCAAAGCAGCACAGTCTCACATTTTATGTAATTTCGTAATGGGCATGAGCTAAATGCAAATGCTGTTATATTTCCAAAAATGACTGAGTGCTTTTCCTTTTTCTAATTGAACTTTCCCCTTATTGTCCTAAGTGAACAAGCAATGCAGTGCTCACATACAATTAAGTTTTGGGTTTTCCTGGGATGGGAATCAGTTCTGTACACAATCGATTAGAATTATAGAAAGCAATGGCGAATTCAAGGTCAAGTTTTCGTCCGCCCATGCCAAGCTGAGAGAGAACATTATTCCTACAGGAAAACACGAGCCACTCCACAGTGTGATCCTTAAGAACCACGACGTCGCAAAAGGTAGACATTCAATGGGATGGCTCAGTGGTAAACCCATGTATAGTAGCAAAGGTGAGCTTTGGAATTGAGACCCGGGCTGATACTTTGTATTGTGCTCTCGAATTAGCACCCAGCTCAGCCACTTTCCCGGGCCCACGGGCTGGTTCCTTTGTTTCCCGCAGAGGAAAGAGCATCAACTTCCAAGGCCCAGGTCTCTAGCCGCCTCCTTCCCAGGCCCTCATGGGGAGTCCATGCCTGTCGGGAGTCCAGCAGAGCCTATGGCAGGGTTGGCATAAAGGATGTAATTTAGGGTGTCTCTGACTCTTGGGCCCACCACCCTGTCAACTCCCCACCTCTGCATGTGTCCCCACTGGCATGCTCACCACCAGGGCTATGGCAATGGCCTTGGTACCGTGGGGGCCCAGCCCATGGTGGTTGAGGTTCATGTAGGACTCCTCCATGTTGCGGAGGAAGCAGGAGACAGGCACCACGCCCATCAGCTTGCAGGCCTCCGTGTACAGCTCCTTTTGTCCGGTGGTGAACAGTTTCTCGGTATCTGCAGAAAAAGATACAAATGGATGAAGTGGGGTTTCTCTTCTGCCTTTGCCACATCTCTCTTCTAACCCCAGGCCACGTTCGCTTCCAAGGATCTGTCCCGGTGGGTGTAAGCTTTAGAGGGCGAATCCAATGGGGGAGTCAGCCGGCGGTGGGGAGGGAGACTAAGTTCGGGAAGCCTCACATGGGCATCTCCCTTCGGGGAAGAGACAAAGGCCCTGGGTTTAGGCCCCAAGCTTTCCTCAGAGAAGTAGCCACATCTCCTGCTTCCTGGGTTGCTGCACCCAGAGGCTGATCACCAAGGATGTGTGAAGGCCTAGGTCTCCTGCTCACCTTGGACAGCTCTGAAAAGCCCAACAGACAAGCAGCGGGTGAGCTGTGGTGGTTAAGAGTCTCCATTTGGGTTTTAGTTTTGCTACCACGGTTAAAATATGAGCCCTAAATCAAGCATTACTGAACATTTAGAGAAGTACCAACTTAAAAAGCCCAAGTTGGGCAGAGTGGGCTTCTCAAGGTGGCAAATCAGGGCAAGATGGAGAGACCCCCAAATCAGCCAGAAACAAGGAGACTGCACGTGAGCGGGCTTCCCTCTTCGGCAGACTCACATGTCATTTTTCCTCCAAAAAGGACTGTCATCCCTACTTGACCAATGACAAATCTAGCCCCAAACTACACACAGCTGATCAGTGCTGAAGCCAGCTCACAGGATTAGGGCCTTCGCCTCTCCATTCCAACCTCCCGGAGCCTTTGTTCTGTGGGCTGTAGGGCAGCCTGGCTCGTGGGCAGTGTCAGTGGGCCTGGCTGGGTTCCGGGTGCCCCCGCAGCTTTGTCCTCATGAGGCGAGGCCCGCCGGCGGCAAGACATCCCATGCCAGCTGGGGTCTAAGCCCGCATCTGCTTCGTGGCCAACCCACCCCGAACATTGTGAAGGCGGACGACGAGAGCTTTGCTGGTGCTCGGACAACAGCTTGACAAGAACGCTGACTTTGCAGGCACACCAGAGACTGGCCTTCTCTGTGCTGGGTGTAGAGCAGGGTTTCCAACCTCGGCCCTCCCGACTGACATTGGAGTTGGGCAATTCTCTGTTGTGAGGGGCTGTCATGTGCAGTGTCGGGGACTTAACAGAATTCCTGGCCCCTCCACCATGAGATGCCAATAGCATCTTCCCACCCCAGTTTGCCAAATGTCCCTGGGGTGCAAAATCACCTCCGAGTGAGAACCACTCTTGAGTAGGAGAAAAGCACGAAGTGGGTGAGCAACTTCTGCTCCCTTGGTCTCTCTTTTGTAGCCTCACACAAGCTTGCGATTCGCACCTGGCTCATGTCTCAGGCCGTCCCAGGAAGCCCTGTCTGCCCCAGTCCCAGCACCTCAGCACCAGCAGCAGGGGCACCAGGAGCGGGGCACCAGGAGCGGAGCCGCTGAGCCCCAAGCTCCAGTCTCAGCACAGAGTTGGCGCCAAATTTAATCATTAGAGGTTCTCGTCGGCCAAAGCAACGTGGGTACCTCCCAGCTTTGTCCTTGGCACTGACGCTGCTCTGCTGGATTCTGCTGACCCCTTCTAGGGGTACTCACTATGCTTGTATTTTAGAGGCAGCTTGTAACACTGACTTGCAGGGAGTTGGGGGTGGGGGTAAGGGGGGGAATGAGTAGAAGCAGGAGTCCCTCATTTTCTTTTTTTAATCCTCACCGGAGGACATTTTTCCATTTTTTGTTCAGGTAGAGTAGGAGGGAGAGAGAGGAACAGAGAGAGAGAGAGAGAAACATCGATGTGAAAGGGACACATCAAGTGGCTGCCACCCGCATAACCGACCAGGGCCGGGATAAACTGCAACCGAGGTACGCACCCTTAGTGGGAACCGAACCCGGGTCTCTCAGGACCGCAGGCCGACGCTCTAACCGCTGAGCCAAACCGGCCAGGGCAGGAGTCCCTCATTTTCCAGTCAGGTAAAATGCAGTGTTGAAAGCAACATTCACAACAGACTTGAAGTAGAAAAGTCAGAAAAAGAGCAACAAGATGTCCGGGGGTGGCAGGGAGGAGGTCTGTGTGCAGGCTGAGTTGTACACGGATCACGGTGGGGGTTATGAACTGACCGTAGAGGAACTGGACGGTTGAATTGGGCAGAACAGCCTCCCCTGCATCTCTATGGCCTCTGTCACTGCCCACTGCCCACCACCCAGCCGTCAGAATGCAGGAGCGGAAGGGTCACTGGGGAGCCTCGGCCTGGGATGTTTGAGGCGGGCCTATTGGGAGGGACCAGCGTTGTTCTCGCCTTGCTTCACAAGTGTCCTTTGTGCCACTTCTCTCCGTGGGGAACTGGGAGGGAGAGGGGAGTGGAGGTATTATCTGCGGTAACAGAGTCTTTGCTGCAGCTCAGACAGTCCCCCGCCCTCACCCCTATACCTATGCACTTGGATTTGTGATGGGACTCTCAAGTGGGGGAACAAGAACTCTAATGGGAGTAGAGGAAAGTCACCGGAATGCAGGATGGGCCACAAACACTCCATGGGTGCCCGGAATATGGAATGCAGGAGGCAGATTGACAGGGCGGGCTGAACTTGGGGTCAGCGAACACTGGGAAGCTCTCAGTGGCCTTGGGCAACTCACACAATCTCTTTAAGCCTCAGTTTCCTCCTCTCTCAAGGCAGGTAGTAATGCTACCTCCTGGGACTACGCAAAGGTGATGTACGATGCCCCCTGTGGAAACATTTGGAACAGCAGAAATTGCTGCTCACTTACTGGTTCAGCTTTCAGCAAGCTCTGCTCATGAGCCAGGGTCCGGCATGGGGCAGCTGCTGCCACCAGCCTCGAGGAGGACATGGCACAAGACTGAGCACAGGCCTTCTGCCATCTTCCTCCTGCAGGACGGCCTGCCGGGCAGAGCCACGGCCAGCTGGGGAAACCAGATCTCTCCCGCTTCTGAGCAGGAGGCGGGCTGCCCCCTCACTGTCTGAGCGCCCACTCTCACCTTCGATCTCGAGGTCTGTTTCTGAATTCTCCCGGCCTGCTTTCTCCTTATCGACGGGCGTGGGAACTTCGGCTTCACAGTAGAGCATTTCATCACTGCTCTGTGGTGCTGGCTGGGTCTCAGTCTCCTCTGGAAGAAAAACACATCTCCTTGATTTTGGAAATGAAACCTGCCAGCCTTTCGGGGGGAGCCACCACGGCTTCCCTCCACCTGTTTCCCTCCTCGGCCTCCCAGGTCCCGGCCGCAGCCTTTGTCCCCCAGCTTCACATGGCTCAAGATGCCAGGGGACTCCATTCTGCAAGCCCTCCCTCCCGACACTGCTGCCTCCCAACCCGGCCATCTGTGGGGTCTCGTGCTACTCCCCACCCCTGCCGTGCTCTCTGGAGAACTTGCTGCCCTATTCCCTGTTTGGGGGCCTGACTTGCACGTTGGCTTCTTGCTCCTTTTTTTTCTTCTTACTGGTTTGAGTGGGGTTCAGAGTTGTTTTATTCTTTTGGGGAAAGCATGAGTCGTTGGCAGGCACAAGTGATGCTGGAGGGGCAAGGCAGACGACTCGGTCAAATGTAAAATAAACCGGAACAGGAGCAGTCCCAGGAATCAAGAGGGATAAGGGGATTCCTAAGAATTTGACTTCGCTTCTCCTCCTTCCAACCCAACATCTACTTTATGGCCATGAAGAAGGCAGGGCTTGCAAAATCTCCCTGGGGTTGAAATTCATTGCCATGATTCAATACATGTGTCTTGAGCTTCCCTCCCTTGCTAGATGTGGTTTTTCTGTCACTGGGCCACTGATCTGGGACCACCCGTGGGCTCCTGAAAGCCACACACAAATGTTCAGAGCTCGTCCTCCTGTATCAGCAGGAAGCAGTGGTCTGGGGAAGCCAGGCTGCACTGCCAAGTGGCTTGTCAGAACTTATTCTTTGGGTGGACTGAGTGTTTGTGGCAGGAGTCCCAAATTTTGACCACCTAGATTCTAAAATGAGGGTTCCTAGTGAGTCCACACAGGTCTGTTTCTTTCTTAGTCCCTGTCCATAGACCTAAGCCCTAACACTTATTGCCCAGCTTGTAAGACAAGGTTCTGTGTGATAAAAGGTGGATGCAGCTAGTGGCCTGGTAGTTAGAAGACATACAGCAGCTTAGCCAGAAAATGTAGCTATCAAGAAGTGGTGACTTTCTGAGTCTTAATTTCCTCATTAGTCAAACAATTTTAGAATTCAATCCAACTAGTGGGATGCTGGTAAATGTTTAATTGGCGCTCCAGAAAAAAAATCCTGATGTGTAGTGATAGCCAATTCCAGTGGTGTAAATGTTTCCAACATGGGCGATTTGAAACTCCCAACATGATATCAAGTAGCTCGAAAAATGAAATTTAAAGTCGGTTAGAACTGGTAGGAGCCAATTCCAGCACAACATATATTCAAATCTCTCGCTCCCTGTTTGACAAGTGCTGAAGCCAAGTCGATAGAACACATCATCCCAAGTCTAGAGGGTCCCAAGGGAGAGGGCACTGAGTTTCTGGGTTTATGTGATCACTGGGTGTTATACTGAGGTGGCCTGGAAGAGCCTGAGTGGTGAGAGATGGGAGGCCTTTCACCTGTTGTCTTGGACTCAAGAGGTTCGTCATTGTCCATGGTGCCAGGGCCCTCTCGGGGGCTGCTGCCAGCTTCTTGCCACCTTTCTGCTGCTTCCCTAAGCAGCACACCTGTCCATTCACCTCTGTCTCAAATTTTGTGCACTCTGCCCTCTCAGAGACAAATCCCAGGGTGGGGTGGGGGGGAGGTATAGTTATCTTTCTACCCCAGCAAGCCCTGGGGAGGTCGGGCTTTGGTGGGAATTGGACGTGTATGGATTTGGCCGCAGCTCTGGGAGTGGCAGCGACTTCCCGGAACCATCAGGAAGACTGGTACAGATGAATTCCTAGGAGTCCTGTCGAAAGGATGCCCACCTGCCTGCAACTTTATGACTTAGGAGCCACTTTCATTTCATCGGCAACATTCCATGACCTCATGCAGACATTGTGATCCATGTGAGTGGACCTGGCAACAGCAGGCCTGCCACCCTCTTGGTGGCGCTGACAGTCATCTTTTTTCATATGTCTGCTGGGGCCAAGCTAAGGCTTGGCTGTGATTATTCAGGTGCTGTGGGGGTGCCTCTCAGCGGTGGTATATTTCCCTCTGAGTCAGGACCAAACCCAAGCCCCTTAACCAGGTGACTGTGAAGACCTGCCACCATGTTCTTCTCTCAAGGTGGTGGTGCTTCGGGTACGAAATATTTCAGCAATGGGTGAAGTTCATTTTCGTCTTCCCAGTTCTCCTTCCTTTTTTCTTTCCCCCTTGGGACAGTATCCTCAACCCTGAAGCAGAAGATCAAAAGCAAACACAACAAACATACTTCTATCACTACAATTTGTTGCAGCCAAACCATTATTCAATCCAAACTACTGGGCTGCCTAACTTGAGACCACTCAACCGTCATTCCCACGCTTGGCTGTTTTCACATGTCTTGGAGTTGAAGTTCACTTGCAGTTTACTGTCAAGATAATCTGGAGGCATGTTTGTTCCTTCTTGATAACTTGCAGCACATCAACAGTCAGGTCAGTGACTAGAGGGCTTGGGGACATGAAAATCCCTCTTTGCCACTCAGAAGAATGAAGATGACCTAGGAATTTGTGGAGGGAAAACATAGAACCTTGGATCAAAAGTAAATCTGAGATGTTACTCATGTCTTCGGGCATTCATTCTGAAAAAATATTTATAGAGCATCTATTATGTACAAGGCATTGTGGGGAGGGGATGCAGACATGATTAACATGGACCTTTCAGGGTATATTGTAGATAAGAAGATAGAAATTGACAGGCCACCTCTAGAGTGGGAAGGTCCTGGGCAAATACTTTTGGCAGAGCTCTTGTACATCTAAACAGCTTGAGTCACCCTAAATCAGCATGGTAACACCATTCTAGTGGTCCAATCTCATGTGGTTCCTTGAAAGAAATATCAAATAGGCCAAGGGAGCAATAAACTTCTGGCACAATTTGGTAGGCACCATTCCTGGAGACCCTCAGATCATCTGGTCAATCCCACACTGATGCAGAGGATAAGAAGTTGTCCTTAAAGGAGAGAAATGGGGACCAGAGAATATGTAGTCTTGGTCTAAACTCTGGGTGCTCTGCCTGAACAGGACCATGTGGTCTTAGGTACAAAAGGTGAATTAGAAAATTTGGAGGAAGGCACTCCAAATAGGCACTGGGCACAGGTACTACTTGCCTGGGTTTAACGGCAGTGCTTGAAATTGGTAAGGGTCATGAGGGAGATTCTCCGGGAATTCAAGGGAGGGTGAGGCTTCTTTATGCTGGGAAGCATTCATGGGCTCTGGGAAAGTAGAGTCTTGGGGAAAGTCATTAGGTCTATGAGCCATTAAAATTTTTTTATCATGGTAAAATATACTGTACTAACATAAAATCTGCCGTTTAATCCTGTTAAGCATGCAATTCAGTGGCACTAAGTATATGCACAATGTTGTACAACCATCACCTCTATCCATTTCCAGAACTTTTTCTACGATCCACTTTGCGTTAATTTCTGTACAGGGTGTGAGGCAAAGTTCGAGCTTCACTTTGCATGTGGATGTTCAAATGCTCCAGCACCATTTGTTGAAAAGACTGTCCTTTCTCCATTAAAAAAATTTTTTTTACCCTTGTTAAAAATCAGTTGACTATAGGCATTCTTTGTTTTTTGTGGGGCTACCATTTCAGAAACCACATAACCAGCAATGTGATGTACCATCTATCCAAATGTTGTACAGTGGTTTGTTCCCTTATTCACAAGGGCCATGTCCCAAGCTCCCCAGTGGATGCCTGAAACCGTGGATGGTACCGAACCCTGTACACTATGTTTTCTCCCATATATACACACCTATGATGAAGTTTAATTTATAAATTAGGCACAGAGAGATATTAACAACAATAACTAATAGAACAATTATAATTATATACTGTAATAAAACTTATGTGAATGTGGTATCTCCCTTTCAAAATACCTTCTTGTACTGTACTCACCTTCTCATGATGATGTGAGGTGATACAATGCCTATGTGATGAGATGAAATCAGGTGAATGGCACAGGCACAGTGAATTAGCTTTAGGCTACTACTGACTTTAGGAAGGAATGTCTAGGCTGAGACCTGAAGGTCCATCAGGCAGTAAACAGGTGAAGGCAGAGGGATGGGGTACACCCAGTGGGGGAGGAAAGGTATTTGAGGGTGAGAAAAAATACATACCAAGTCCCTATGGCATGTTGAGGGAGTCTCAAGTAGTTTAATGAGGCTAGAGTGTGATTCTCATGGTAGGGAGTGGCGGTACGAAAGAAGAGCTGAGAGCTGAGATGGGAGGGAGCAGAGATCAATAATGAAGGAACTTTAATGCTATGCTTAGGAGTTTGGCCTGTATTTGAGGACAGTGGGGGTTTGCAGGGAGGCTCTAAGCAGCAGTGTGACCTGAGATGACTCGCATAGTAGAAAGATTGCCCTGGCTGCAGGGTAGAGGGTGGACTGAGGCTAGGAAGAGGATCGGCACCACTTAGGAGAGGCTGAAGTGGAATGACTTAATAAATATAAAGGCCAAATCACTTGGACTTGGGGACAGATCAGATATGAAAGCAAAAGGGGAGAAGAGAAAGCAGGATAGATGACTGTGCCATTCCTAAGAAAAGGACAGAGGAGCCAGGCAGTGGGCATTTTGGAGGATAGCAGAAGGTGATGAGTGCAACTTTGGGTGTGTTGAATCTTAGAGGTGCCCCTGGCACTTCCACTGGAGAGGTCCATAGGCAAAAGGGTGTATATGTCTAGGACTCAGGAAAAGGTTAAAAATGTAGATGCATGAATTGGTTGATGGCACTTGAAGCCATTGGAGTGGTGAGAATGTCTCAAGGAAGGACTTTAAAGAAGAGGAGAGAGACCAAAGATGAAATCCTAGAAACGCCATCATTGAAGGGGGTGGGAGGTGAGGTGGTATTCAGAGGAAGAGAAATGAAGGACACTAGGACGGAATGTCCAGAGAGTGAGAAAACAGGAATTAAGGGAAGAGAATCTTACAAAAAGGGAGAACTCATGCAAAATTATAGAATATTCAAGAAATAATAAAGCCTGGAGAGTGTCCATCCAATTTAGCAACAAGAAAGGCATTGGGAAGTTTTAGTGGAGTGATGAGAGTGGAAGCTATATTTTAATGGGATAAAGATAAATGAGAGGTGAGAAAGTACAGACAGCAGGGACTCTCTGAAGAAGCTTGGCTGTGAAGGAAAGGTGAGGAGATGGAGGGATGGCTGGAGGGGAACATGGGCTGAAAGAAGGTTTCATAATATAGGAGCAATTGGAGCATGTCTACATGTCGATCGACAGAAGTCAGGGAAGAAAAGAAGAGGGGTAAACAGAAAGAGCACAGTCTCTGAGGAGGCAGGAAGGAGAGGACTCCAAGTTTGGTGGAGTCAGTGTTGGGAGGGAAGGAAGAAAAATTAATTGTGCATTCTCGTCGGTGTGTTGAAGTGGCAACGGAGTACAGAACTTTCACTTGATGGTTCTATTTTTTCTCTAAAGTTGGTAGGGAGATGATCTCCAGAGAGCAAGAAGAGAGGCAATATCACAGCAAGTCTGAGAAGAATGGACATTGTGGAAATGGGAGAGAAAGCTAATTAAGAACACAGGATTGCTGAGGAGGGTTAAGGACTGAAGTGAGATTGGAGATCAGAACACTAATAGCTCCAATCTATGTGGTTGGTTATTTTATGCACCAGTGCTCAGCCCAGATGTAAGAGCCAAGAAGAATGGTTTTACTGAACCTAGGCAGGCATTATCAAGAAATGTTGGGCAAAAGTTGATTTGGGAAGAGAGCAATTTAAAGGATGGCTCATAGGGATTCTGTGTTGGATAGAGAAAGAAATTATGAGTAAGGGGAAGTTTGAGGGCAGAATAGAAAATTCAAGGGTTTGATGGAGTTAAAGAACAAGGTGCAGATGTGAAGCTGGGAAAGGCAGAAAGCCAAGGGTGATCTATCAGAGTGAGTGTGTGAATTTATGAATTTGAGGTGGAGCAGTACCCAGTGATGTGACACATCAAAGTGTCTGAAGTATGTACAGTGGGAATGAGGCTAGTGAGGAGGTGATGACAATGAGCTTCTAGGATTTGAGACGGCTCATTCACATTAGTGGTGGAGGATTGAAGACAGAATACTGTGAATCCAGTACTAGTGTCTTCAATGAGAGAGGAGGAGTGAGGTTGGGGCAAACATTGATGAATGCTTGATAAATCTCTAACGAATGCATGAATACCCAGTTGAGGCTAGGTCCTTCAGAAGAGGTTCCCAAAATGTACACCAGAATAACCTGGTCAGTGTTGAAGAGCCCCACCCTAGACCTGATAAATTAGAACTTTGGAAGTAGGGTCTAGGACTTTTTATTTTTAAGACATTTTCCAAGTGGATAAGGAAACCCTAATTTCACAAAATGATAAAAACAGTCTCTAGATAAATACTTTGATTTAGGGTCTGATTTGGAACTTGGACTTCTGGGTAACTATCGGGGCAAAATGGAAGGAAGGTACAAGGAAGGTATATTTAAGCCACATCAAAGGACTGGGCCTGACTTTGGGGGATCCTTAGGTTACGTTTGTGCACTAGTTTCCATGAGGTTTCCCAGCCTTCAGATTGCTCCTAAGGCCTCTGCTTCATGGGAGGCCAGGCCTGAGTGCCGTTGCCTGAAGGCAGACACTTCTCTGGAACTAGGAAAACAGCAGAAGGCCACAAGACTGACCTTTTCCTTCTTCCTCCTTTTAGCCTTTCAGTGTTATGATGTATCCAGCTGGTCCTGGATCTGGTGACTCCCCAGAGGGCTTCTCTGAACCACCGAGGCTCCAGCCACAAATTGGAAATTGCACAACTCAGACACTGGGTACTGAAGTCGGTAGTATACAAAGATTTATTTAATTTCTACAATGTGTCTGACACTGTTATAGGTACCAGAGAAATACCTCAGTGAAAACCAACCAACCAGACTTGGTCCCTGCCCTTGTGGAAGTCCTGCCCCCCCCCCCCCTTCTTGACTCCCTTACCAATGGGACACCCTCTTTTTTCTAGATTAGGAAAAAGAAGGCCCATTTGGAATAGGATGAGGAAGGAGACAAAAGGGTGGACTCAATTTGTGAACTAGAATCTGAGTTGGGGAAGAAAGTGGAGTCAGGAAAAAAAGAAAAATGAGCCCTGGCCGGTTTGGCTCAGCAATTGGAGCATTGGCCTGCGGTCCAGAGAGACCCGGGTTCGGTTCCCTCTAAGGGCACATACCTAAATTGCAGTTTTTCCCTGGCCCTGGTTGGGTCGTGCGGGTGGCAGCCACTCCATGTGTCCCTTTCACGTTGATGTTTCTCTCTCTCTCTTCCTCTCTCTCCCTCCCACTCTATCTTTACAAAAAATGGAAAAATGTCTTCAGGTGAGGATTAAAAAACAAAACAAAACAATTCTCCCTGGGCTGAGAAGGGTGAGATTTTGGAAGCCAGGACTGGTTGGGGCCTTAGAGATAGCCCAGCCCCCTAATTTTTACAGATTAGAAAACTGAGGGGTAGAGAGGTTAGAGGGTGGAGCCCAAGTCAGGCGGCAGAAGTGGGACTGAAATCGTGCCCTTCGAATAATAGCAAGGAGCCTCCAGCATGGAGCTTAATTTCAAACTCCTGCGCTTGGAGGGCTTCCGCAGCCAGGCTGCGCCTATTGCCATGGGAACAGGCCCCGCAGCCGCCCCTGCGGGTGCTGCGCTCCTAATAAAGTTGTTGTTGAATCTCCGCGGGACCACGTGGCCTCCCTGGGGCGGAGCCGGGGGCGGGGCGAGCCGAGGGCGGGGCCGAGCCGAGGGAGATCGGCGGGCTGCAGCGAAGAGGGGAGGTGGACGTAGGGGCGGCGGCCGGCCATGATAGCGTCGTGCCTGTGTTACCTGCTGCTGCCGGCCGCGCGCCTCTTCCGCGCCCTCGCAGGTACTGGCCCCGCGTCCTTCCAGGCGGGAGCCAGGCCCGGCCCGGCCCCGCGGGGCTGAGGCGGCGTGCGGCGTGTCGGGCCTCACGACACCTTCCCCTGGCAGTGCCAAGGTTGGGGAGGCGGCCTCGACCCCGGTGCCAGTCCTGGACTCCAGCGCCGCAGGCCTGGCCGACGACCCTCGTGGGCGGCCCCCTGCTCACGCTGGTGGCGTTGGGCCGCAGTTCACACGGAGCGGGACTGGGGAATGGGCTGAAGCCGCCCTTCCCGGCCCGGGGTGCAGAGAGGCCGACTGAGGCTCTGCCCTGGGGGGTCGGGAGGGGAGCCAGGCGAATGCCCGCATTCTCTGCGGAGCGGGGCGGTCGGGCCTGGGGTCAGTGGGCTGAAGACCTGGACGTACCTGTGCTCCCCAAGGTGAACGCCGCACTCACCTTCCCCAGCACAGCTCTGCTTTCTCCGTGGAGCCTGTGGTTGGAAAACATGCTCAGAATCCAGAGCCGCATTGAAAACTCAGCTCGGAAGCAGCCTCCACGCATTTAGGGTGGGATGGAGGCGATGCCCAGTTGACACTTAGAGAGGAGAGAGTTCTTCTTTCACTTTTCATGATCCGCCTGGCCTTTTCATTCCTGCTCGGTCAGTTCCCGAGGCTCCTACAGACCATCAGTTCCTCTCAGAGATCCTACAGAACTCCCAGACTTCTCTGGCAATTCAGGGGCAGGAGAGGCCAACAAGTATTTTCTTAGGAATAAAGGGGTCCAACTGTGCGTTCTTGCTTTTTTACTTACTGGAACGTTATGCAATGTGTGTGTGTGGTTTATATTACATTTTATATGTATATTTCATATAAAATGTTTTGTGTTTTTTTCCCCCCTGCTTCTAGAATGCAAGCTCTATGAGGGCAGCGTCATGTCTGTTTTGCTTACTGTGTGTCTAGTGCTAGCACACTGCTCAATATAGTAGCCACCCAATTTAGGAGTGGCTCATGCGGATATGTTTTGAGGAATGAGAAACTCCATAGAAGTAATTGTTTTCAGAGAACTGAAGCCCATTCCTTTAATCATGTTGCTGTCATTTCCGGAGCTCTTCCAGCATCCATAATGGTGACCTTAGTGACAATACCCATCCAGAGGTTTCGAGACCAAGAGTTTTAGAGGTCTCAGAGGAGGGGCCACCTACTCTCTTCCCCCTGTTAAAGTAGTCCCACTTGTTTTAATTTTGTTACTTGGTTTCGACAGGTTTTTAAATTTTTAAGTAAAAGGATTCTGCTGCTGAAAAACCACCACCACAAACAAAAACCTGCTAAATTTGGAAACTAGTAACAGCCTACATGTAAATCAAAGAACCTCTGCCATCTGGTATACACAGAGGATGTTTCAAGGGAGAGGGTATTATAAAGTCCTTGAAACTAAAGCCAGCAACCCAAGCACCTTGGGTTTACAGCAGGGTTTCCAGTCTCAGCACTATTTTCATCTGGGCATGGATAATTTTTTGTGGGGCTGTCCTTTGCACTGTCGGATGTTCAGCAGTATTGTTATGCTCTAACCACTAGATGCCAGTAGCATCCCCACAGCTGTGACAACCACAATGTCTCCAAACAAGGCCAAGTATCTCCTAACAGCAAAATCACCACTGGTTGAAAACCACTATTAAATCCACGTAGGCCATAAGAGAGTGTCAACATTTGAACCATTCTGACATTTTTCTTGCCTTAAAATAGAGCTGATAAAATAAATCTGGTGACTGAGGGTCTGCATCATGCATGCCACTTTCCATGTGCCGTAAATAAGTGATTTAGTGTGCAGGGAGTGTTTGCTTGCACCAAAATGCTATGCATGGAGTCTGGGGGCTCTAATTTTAGAGTTTTCCTACCTGCTTTCTTGCCTGTTGGCTGTCATTTGTGGCTGCTGTAGCAGAAAGATGACAGCCATCTCTTGCTGTCACTTGTTGGCACCTTATTTATAGCCCCTGTTGTGTTATGGAATGAGAAAACTAATAATGAAGTTTGTGAAGATTTGTGAGTAGAATAAATAGCTTCAAGAAGAGGACCAAGGGCCTTTGTTAAGTAAATTGTATAGATTTTGAGACGGCTTTCTTGTGTACTTTAGGATTTTTTTGTTTTGGGATGCATTCATAGATTAGGGGACTTACAAAACTAGAAAATCTCTTGGAGGTTATCTAGTTCACACTTCTCTTGTCCTCACTTTACAGTCAAGAGTAAGTCCATCTCAGCAGGGGCATTGTCCAAGGTCACATAGTTTTGTTCATTACAGTGCTAGGCCATAACCCACAGTTCTAATTCATGGTCAAGTTCTGGATGAAATGCAGTGTGGCTCTTTGAACCAGAGAGTTAATGTTTCATAGGAGTCTTAACCTTTTAGATAAAGAGGTGTGATTATATGTGACCATCTCTGTCCTAGATTATGTGGGTCAGCCATTTTATTCCCGCACTGAATATTTATCAGATCGCTGCCGTATAAATTACTTAATATGTGTAAAGCAGTTACTGTGCCTGCCACATAGTAAGCACTTCACTCTGATGATGATGGCGTTTCAGGCACTAAAATGGATAGGCTCAGTGATGAAACAAAGATGGGCAAGGTGAATGTGAATCTTACCTGTATGGGATTTATATTCTGGTTGCGAGAAGAGTGTGGGGGACCTAGTGCTGTCATCCAGTAACATGGTATTTTGACTTTCTTCTTAGATGCCTTCTTCACATGTCGGAAAAATGCCCTCTTGGCGAAGAGATCGGCCCCCCAGGTAGAGGGTGACTTTGCCATGGCCCCTCAGGGCCCGGACCAGGAAGAGTGTGAGGGCCTGTTGCAGCAGTGGCGAGAAGAAGGGTCAAGCCAGGTGCTCTCGACTGTGAGCGAGGGTCCCCTAGTAGATAAGGGACTAGCTCAGAGCAGCCTGGCACTCCTGATGGATAATCCTGGAGAACAGGAGGCTGCTTCCGAGGACAAGTGGTCCAGCAGGCAGCTGAGTGACCTGCAGGCAGCAGAGAACCTGGAGGAGCCTTCTCCTGAGGTCCTAGGAGAGGAGCCACTGCCAGAGGTTGAGGTCCCAATGTGGGCAGGTGTCCACATGCAGACAGGTCCTCAGTATGCAGACTGTGCTGTCCTCCCAGTGGGAGCCCTGGCTGCAGAGGAGTGGGAAGAGGACCCTGCAGTGCTTGCCTGGAGCATGGCACCTGAGCCTATGTCCCAGGAAGAGGCGCCCATCTGGTCCTTTGAGAGCCTGGGGCATTTGCAGCCTCCCCCAATAGAAATTCCTTATCATGGTGAGTCTGACAACTGGCTGAGGGAGTCAAGGTAGCAGGTTGTCAGGTTGCGGATGTGGGCAGAGCCATTGCTAAAGCAGATTCTCTTGGGGAGCTCTGCCACTGCATTCTTTTTTTTCCCGAGACTCTTGCAGTGTCAGATCTAGAAGGGCCTCAGAAATAATCTCCTTTAGCCCTATGGTCTTTCAGATGTGCAGAGAGGTAGCCGGGACATGCCTAAAGTCACAGCTACGTAGTGGCAGAACAAAGCAGACTCTAGTTCTGATTCTCCAGGCTACTGTTTCTCTGGAGGTCTCCCCTCTGCCTCAGCCAGAATAACTCCAGCTTTATCTGTGGTGCATATTGGGCCTCCATTAAAATATGAATAATGAACTCTGTGGCTCAGAGAGGTTTTAACTCCACTGTGCAGCTCCATGCTTTAAGGGAGATTGGGGACACCTGGTTTCTAGCCCTACAAACTTCCAGATTTAGAGGTTAGAAAATACCCAAGGCTAAGATTACTCTAGAAGTGTCTTTAACCTCAGATGACCATTAAACACATTCATCTGAGTGACTCCCCAGAGTCCAGTGGACTTGTCAATAGTGAGAAATTGTTAACCTATATTTATTGAGCATGTACTAGGTGCCAACTACTATGCTAGGTATTGTGGTGAACAGGTTAAGATTGCCTCTGACTTTGTGGAGCTTACTGTGTAGTCTGAGAATGTCCTTAGAGTTCCGCTCAGACTGCCACAGAGAGGGATGGGTGACATGGAAGGTGAAAAAAGGAACTTGAGACACAGTATCACTGAGTCAGGAGTGGAGATGGTGGGGCCTGTGTGTAATGTGTACTTGTCATGGACCTGTTCTTCCCAACCCCTTTGCAGAAATCTTGTGGCGAGAATGGGAAGATTTCTCCACTCAGCTGGATGCTCAGGGCCTGGAGGCAGGGGATGGCCCTCAGTTCCAGTTCACTCTGATGTCCTATAACATCCTGGCCCAGGACCTGATGCAGCAGAGCTCTGAGCTCTACCTGCATTGCCACCCGGACATCCTCAGTTGGAACTATCGCTTTGCGAACCTCATGCAGGAATTCCAGCACTGGGACCCTGATGTGAGTGCAGTGAGGAGGGCAGTGCACCTTGCATTCGCTTTGGAAACGGGCTGTTCCCACTGCTTTTAGAAAATGAGTTCATTCCCATCGTTGTTCATATGATGGGAGTCCTTCCTGGGGCTGGAGCTTGCCTGCCTGAAGGAAATTAGTTTTGGCAGATGCTGAGAAGACTCTCCCTAGGTACATTTTCTAGCACCTTTAAGCAGGGAGGGAGACTTGAAGGACTCAGGAGCGGGAAAATCCAGTGTATGTGTCTGGTCTCCTCAGCTTAACTCTGGGCATGTTCTTGCTGGGGCTGGCTCTCTGGGAAGGGCCAGTCCTGTGGGGAGTTTCTGTGTGACCCTGCCTGAGACCGACAGCAGCTTCCTACTTGGCCACAATGCCTGCTTCTAGGGTGGGAGTCACATTCAGCACTCTGGGCACTCGGGAGTGAGTGGTTTCCTTGTCGCTTCCCAGATCCTGTGTCTCCAGGAAGTGCAGGAAGATCATTACTGGGAGCAGCTGGAGCCCTCTCTGCGAATGATGGGTAATGCAGCTCCATGGCATGTTTGCCAGTCTGTGTTCCTACAGCCCCGTCTGCTCTCTCCTGTGGACAGCATGCCTTTCTTTTGTCTCAGCAATCCCTGTCTCACCTGTGAGCTAGCTCCTTTATGTGGGTGAGAAAGAAAGTCGAGTTCTGCAGTTGTAAAGCAATTGTGACATATGTTCCTATTTAATCCTTGAAATAAAAACCCTGTGAAACTGAGTATTCTTTAAAAAAAATTTTTTCCCCCTTTATTGATTTTACAGAGAGAGGAAGTGAGAGGGAGAGAGAGATAGAAACATCAGTGAGAGAGAACATCGACTGGCCGCCTCCTGCATGCCCCCCATCAGGGATCAGGCCCATAACCTGGGCATGTGTCCTGACCTGGAATCGAACTGGTGACCTCTTGGTGCACAGGTTGATGTTCAACCGCTGAGCCACACCAGCCAGACAGAGGCTGAGTATCCTTATCCCCAGTTTACAATGAGAAAACTGAGTTCTCAAAATTTCTGTGACTTGCTCAGGGTCACAAAGCTACAAAGTTGTGGAGCTAGGCCTCCAACTTGTCTGACTTTAGGTTCCATACTTTTCCTATCAACTTATGTTGCTTCAGTCCTCTCTTCTTCCTTCCCTTTAGAGCCTCTCGGTGATCTGGTTGAAACTGTGAGGGAACCTCTGCAGAACCAGGGGATTGGCTAGGGCAAGAACTCTCATTGAGCAGCAGGAGCAATGTCTTATGCACACCCGCCTGGGTTACTGCCACTGGCCGGAGGGATTTGGGGTTCAAGGACTCTGATCCCTCTCCTTGGTGGGGTGTTCCTGCAGGCTTTACCTGTTTCTACAAGAGGAGGACCGGGTGTAAAACGGATGGCTGTGCTGTCTGCTACAAGCCTACGAGATTCCGTCTGCTTTGCGCCAGCCCTGTGGAGTACTTCCGGCCTGGCTTGGAGCTTCTCAATCGGGATAACGTGGGCTTAGTGTTGCTGCTGCAGCCACTAGTCCCAGAAGGCCTGGGGCAAGTCTCAGTGGCCCCATTATGTGTGGCAAATACCCACATCCTGTACAACCCACGCCGGGGTGATGTCAAGTTGGCCCAGATGGCCATTCTCTTGGCTGAAGTGGACAAGGTGGCTAGGTTGTCAGATGGCAGCCACTGCCCCATCATCTTGTGTGGGGACCTGAATTCTGTCCCTGATTCACCTCTCTACAACTTCATCAGGGACGGAGAGCTCCAATACCACGGGATGCCGGCCTGGAAGGTGAAACGGGGCAGGCCTCTGCGGGGGTGGGGACATGGCCTCGGGAGAGATTTGGGTGTTGGTGTCCAGTGCTGCTTCTGTGGCTGGGACCTCAGTTACACCTGTTCTGGCTCCCTCCTGCTTTCTTGTACCCAAAGCCTGGAAGTGAGTGCCTTTGGCATATTGGAATCCTTTCGATTTTTATCATTAATTAGTTTTTAGTCTATAAGTAATACATAAGTACATCCTTGTAAGAATCCAAATATTGTAAAATCAGGCCAAAACCCCTTTTATTATCTGCATTCCTTGCCTCTCCCCTTAGAGTCAAGTAATAACTGAAGTGTGGTGGTATTTTTCCAGATTGTTTTCTGTGCATTTATAGTGATGTCTATGTTCCTGTGGTAATGTAATCCTAATTCACATTTATCAAGCAATTACTGTGTGCCGGGTACTATTTTAAGCACTTTACATGTATCAACTCATTAATTTTCACAATTTCTATTATTACCTCCATTTTATAAATAAGGAAACTAAGACACAGAGGAATTAGTAATTTGTTTACTCTAGATTAGGCAGGTCATTAGTGGTGGAGCAAGGATTTGTAACTAGGTGGTCTGGCCACAGAGCTCTTGCCCTTAATACTACGCCGTGATTGCTTCTAGCAGCTGATACATAATCTATCATGTGTGTGTTTATAAACATGATATATTACTGTGTATTTCATTTTGTAGCTTGTTTTATTTTCACTCAACAGTGTATATATGGATCTGTCTTATTCCTTTTAACTGCTGAATGTTGATAGCATAGATATCTCATAGTTTATTATAGTTGATTTAGCTGTGCTGATGGGCATTCTGCTTGTGCTAATTTTTTATGTCACTTAATCTCCCTGTGCCTCTGTTTTGCTTCCACTGATCCATCCAACTTATTGCTTAACTTTTGGCAAAGCACAGTGGAGAAAGGACACAACATAACTGAATTATTGAGTACTTTGGGCTTTTATTTTAATGAGGTTACTCAAGTGCCAGCAATGTCTTGGTTGCCCCGTGTGCAGAGAAAGGCATTATCCTGCCTGAAAGTTGCTGTAATCAAGGAGCTCAGGAAACACACAAAGATTTTACTAAGTGCCTGCCTTCTGACAGGCACTGTTAGGCATAGTGATCAAGAACACTCATTTTGAAGCCAGATAGTCCTGAGTTCAAATCGCTGCTCTGCCACCTTGGGCAAGTTACTTAACTTCTGTAAGCCCCATTTGCCTCATCTAGACAATGGCAATATAATGGGACCTACTTCGGAGGTTTTTGTTTGTTTGATGGATTAAATAAAAACATGCACATGAAGTGTTTTCCACTTCCTGCTTCAAATTACCAAAGTAATTTGGTAATGGTTATTTTTATCAAGATTCTTAATTATATGTGATATTATTACCCCATTTTATAGTAGAGGATATTGAACCCAGTAGAGTTAACTAACTTGCCCAAAGTCACAGCTAGTAAATGGCCATACATTCAGGTCTGTTTTACTTCAGATGACATATTGGGAATTTATGTCCTTTAAGAGCAGAGATTGTGTTTATCACTGCTCTCTTCTCAGCACTTAGTTGGGGTCTTACACATAGTTGGCATTCAAATTGTTGTTAAATGAAATAAAGGGAATTTTGCTATACACGTTGGAGATATGCAGATGAGTGATGTTGCTGAATGTTTCCCCTACTACGTTCTGTCCATTCCCAGGCTGCTCATTGGCTTTGACAGAGGATAGTGTTGCAGATACGGTAAAGTGCTTTGGTGCATTTCTCATTTGATTCGTCCCTGTGGTTTCCCAGTAATAGGCTTAAGATGCTAGACCTTGATCCAGAAGATCCAAAGATCAGCATAAACCTTTTCTCATTACACATCAAAGTCACAGAGAATAGTGAAGATTTTTCTGAGATAAAAGTTAGGGGATCACATGTTCATATAGTTCTATTCTTGTCGACTCCCACACCTGACTCTCTTACCCCTCATTATTCCTGTCTCATGGACATTTCAGTGTTTCTAGTAAAAAAAAAAAAAAAAATAGGTCCTTATTTTTAACCCTCCCCTGAGACTTATGTTTTGCTTATATTGTTTATTTCTGTGTGTGTGTGTGTTTGTCCACATGTCCCCCAAAATGGGCTATTTCCTTCTTCCATCTTGGTTTCCTCATTTCCACCTGGTGTTTCCTTATAGGTATCTGGACAGGAAGACTTCTCCCATCAGCTTTACCAGAGGAAGCTGCAGGCCCCACTATGGCCCAGCGCTCTGGGCATCACTGATGGTTGTCAGTATGTCTCCTCTTGTCATCCCAAGAGATCAGGTGAGCATGTGCCATGTTCTTGGTTGGCTGTGCCTTCATGCCCATTTTGGGAGAAAGCTGGCACCTCAATAACGGGAAAGTGAATCCCCACAATTCCCTTAGCAAGTTCCATTATTTTTCTCACTGTCCTCATGGTCATCCAGTGATATGGACAACTTTAAATTATAGCCTTTGAGAAATCTCCAAATCTCCTTATCTCCTGAGCTAGACTTCCTCTATGCCCCAACACTGAAAGCTTCTTAATGTTAAGGAGGTCTCAGCCTGTGGCTCCTCTTTGTTTCTTTTACTGTATCACTTTTCCTGGTTTTCAGAGAGACGTAAGTATAGCCGAGACTTCCTGCTACGTTTCCGCTTCTGCAGCATTGCCTGTCAGCGCCCGCTAGGACTGGTTCTTATGGAAGGAGTGACAGATGCTAAACCAGGTAATGGGAACTAAGCTTGTTTTCTTGATCTTTTTTAAACCTTTCTACCCCTCATATTTGTCATTTATGTGATTTCTTCGTCTTTCCTAGGCATAAGTCTTAGAGGTCAGCTTCTGGTAATAGGCATGCTTAGAAGGAAGGTCAGTGGAGTAAACAGTGGCCACATACATGCAGAGATGTGCAGTGTTATGAGAACATGGACCAGGAATCAAGACCAGGGTTCTAACCAGTTCTGAGACCTTGAGTAAGCTACTTAACCTTTGTAAGCTTAAGCTGCTACTAACTAGCATGTGGACAGCATGAATGGGAGAGAAGATATACATGACAGGGCTTTGAAAACCAAAAGGTGACAGTGGTCCTGGTTGTAATAAAAGTTAGTCCTACTGAGAACGTCCGGATTGAATGTAACAGCGCATACTTGACATTCTACGCTTCTTGTCTCTGAAACCACTCTGAAGCAACAAGGAAAACGGAATAAAGAAATGCAGACCCCATCTTTGAGAAAACAAGATCTGAAGGTATCGGAAACCGTAAACCACCACCCCAGTGGAGTGGCTGTGAGAAACACCGGAGACCGTGCAGGCATGCTGGAGGAAACGGGAGACTTCTCTGTGAGGCTGTGTGGATCGGAAAGAACCAGCAGAGTGCCTTTCTCCAAGCTGAGGAGTGTGCCTCGAGGCTCAAACCCCAAATTCTTGTTTCATCAAAAAGAAAAGGATGCATAGGTTGTGATAGGACATTATCTCAACCTATTTTAGTTCTGAGAGGCAGTGGATGAAAGACTGATCAAGGAATCAAGCCATGTTTGCATTGAACAGTCTGAGTGGCAGGGGGATATATAGAGCGACATATTTTTGGCTGGGGAGAAGTAAAGATTAAAAGGGCTCATACTCTTGTGTCATAAGGAAAATTTCTGTTACATGGAATGCATATTTAATTCTTTTATTGTATAAATTTTGTACAAATAACTGGTAGCAAAACCTCAACTAATTCAAACCTGGGCTGCCCAAAAGAAACCAGCATGAGATCTGTACTAAAATACTTCAAGAAAAGAAGGTGGAAGGAACAGGGAAAATAAAGACAGATAAAGAATACTCTTTCAAAGATAAAAATTCTTGCTATGGAGCATATGAAAATTGTAACTATTTTTCCATGAATAAAAAAATGAAGCATTTGCCTTTATAAAATAAGAGCACAAAAATAAAATTATTGCTTTTTAAACATAAGTTCAGGCACATGCCAAGTCATCAGAAGATGAAATGTAAGCTGCAGAGCTGAGGAAAGAAATGGAATAAAAATTTTAAAAATCATATAAAACGAAGACAAAATTGGATGCAGCATAAGAAAGAATAGATATTGCTGAAGACGAGACAGGCCAAGTGGGGGGAAAAGCAAAATAAAAAGGAAGTAAAAGGATAAAAAGAACTAGAGAAAAATGACAGTAGTAAAAGATAAGGCAATTCATCATGTAATTGGAGTTCACAAAGAAGAAAACCAACATAATGGCACAAAAGGAATATTTAAAGGTATGATTCAGGGAAGATTTTCCAAAGATGAAAAGATCTGAGTCTTCAGATTGAGAAGATGTGCCATGTCTCAGTACAAAAAAAAAACAACACAGGAGAAGCAACACTAAGACATCCTAGAGAAGTTCCCAGAAGTCAAAGATAAAAGACTCCTTTGGGCAGTTGAACCAAAAAGATTAGGCTACTTTTAAGGGTAAAAATAATCAGGTTGGCGTCAGACTTCTTAACATTAACATTCAATTCTAGAAGACAGGGGAGCAAGGCTTCACAGAAAGAAGATATAGCTCAAGAATTTTATACTCCACCAAAAGCCTGCCTTGAAGAGATGCTGGAAGACTGACTTACAACAACCAAACAATGACTGGAAAAAATTATAGTAAAAGATTGGTGGTAAGCAATTAATTTTTTTTTTTTTTTGGTCAGAATTTAATTTAAATTGGCATTTTGCACAGAGCAGTGAACATTTCAATGGCTCAGCTTTTTTAAGTTGCAAAAGTAAATGTATTATTACAACTGTGGCAATATATAATAATGATGGTGATGGCTGCCACACATTGGGCGACTACCATGTGCCTGGAATTGGGATAATGCTTGTATCAGTTGGACTGTGGCTCAGTGTTTTAAGATTATAAAATCCTAAAGTTAAACAGAAGTAGGATCCCACATAGGTAATTTCATGGTAAGTATAGTTTATTTTTTAAAAATATCAGTGCTGTATTTGAAACATAAAATAAGTATTTCAGTTTTAACAAGCTTAAACCCAAGAACCTTTAAAATACATACTGATAATCACTTTGTAAGTAGAATCATTATATGGGGGAAGATACCCAGTTCACTAACAATATAAAATAATAGCAGTATTTTCAAAATTGAGAATAAATTTGGGTGAACAGACCCATTCACCACATCCTGTGAACATGCCCTTCCATTTGTTTGGTACCCCCACCTAGGGCAGAACAGGCTCCTGATGAATCTCTCTTAAAGACACCAAATCTTGCCCTGGCCAGTTTGGCTCAGTGGTTGGAGTGTCAGCCTGCGAACCAGAGACTTCTGGGTTCGGTTCCCACTAGGGGCACGTACCAAAATAAATAAATAAAGACGCCAAGTCTAAAAAGCTACCACCATTTTTAGACCATGAGTAGAAAGACTTAAGTGCAGTACAATGAGATCATAGTGTGTGATCTTTTTCTACAGGATATGTTTAGATGTCATACCAAATTGTATTTCTAGTCTCATACTAGAGTCATCCAACCCACTGTGCACATCAAAACTTGTCAACTTGACTGTGATGCTGACTTTAATGTGAAGCATCTGAGTTCTAAAAGGAGCTGCAGTGCTAGGGAGTGGCGGTCTGACTTGCCCACAAGTTGACATTGCGTTGCACTCGAGCATTCTACGTCGCCAAAGTTGTGTAAAAAAAACACTGTGATCCTCACTCTCCCAACTCCCTTTGTGAGGGAATAATTAATAAGGGAATCTAAATTTTAAGTCTCCCTTATATACTTTTTCAATTATTAATTATTTGTCTTTCCAGTATGATTCATAAAGACACTGAAAGGGGTTACTATGTTTTCTTTCTCATGAGTGCTTGCGTGTTTACATAAACGCTGGAGCTTTGAACTTACATTGAACCCTTCAGGCCTTTTAACACTTAACCACAAACCATGTGCCCAATTAAGTGCATTACAGGAAAAAACAATTACTAATAGATGACTTTTGTAAACCACTATTTACAAACTGGCCAGATGACCATAGAGCAAAAGATGTCTAATCAGTTTTCTAACCAGAAGGTTCTGAATCCAGCTTCTCCTTTGGCCGATGCGTGACACAATGTATTACCCCCTTCCCTAGTACAGAAGAACTTACTTGTTTGGCTTCCACTTGCTTACTTGGGTGCTGAATGGGCCCAGAAGACATTAGCTCAGGTGGAGGCGGCTGTGGGCCATGTCCCAGTGCTGTCTGTACACAGTGCTGTCTCTGCCGAGGTACGTGGGCAGAACCTGGGGTTGAGGGAAACCATTTTCAGTGTCCTGCTTGGTCAGTGATTTTTCTGGCATATCATAATAGTAAAGGATATGACTCAAAATGAAGATATTAGTGTTATGAACATTTATGCTCCAAATAACAGTACATCCACAATCACTAAGTAAAATTTCAGGATTTAACAAGGAATAATAGTCAGAAAATTACTAATGGTGAAAGGTTTTAATTCATCTTTCTTACTTCATAACAAATCAAGTAGACAAAAGATAACTAAGAATATAGAAGACTTAAGTAACATGTTATAAGGTAAGTCTGATCGGTATATATCAAACTCTGAACATTGAAAGCAGTGCATGGGACGACGCTCAGTCCACTGAGCCACGCTGGCTAGGAGACCCAAAAAATTTAAATAGAAGATCGGGAAACAGAATTTATTAGCACATTGAAAGAGAAATAGACCATGACCAAATGGAATTGATCAGAAATATAAAGAGAGTTTGATATTGCAAAGTCTGTTAATATAATTTATTGTGCTAATATATATATGAAATATATTTAAATATATGAAAAGCATCCTATAGATGCCAGAGACATTTGTTAAAATTCAGCATCTATCATAGACTCTTTTACAAAGAGCCATCTTAAATTAAGAAAAAAATAGATAATCCCTTACACCATTCAAATACATGTATCTTGGTGGGAACATGTGGCGGTGGCAGGGCCCCACCCCTGGGCTCGGGCTGCGGGGAGTGGCAGGCAGGCACGGATCTACCGCGGGCCTGAAAAACAAGTTCATCTCGGCTCCCAAAGTCAGGAGGTTCCGTGAAGAAAACACTCTAGTAGCAAAGTCAAGAACAAGCCAAGGATGATCACTGTTATTATTAAACCGAGTTCAGAGATACCAGCCAACATAATTAGAAGTAGGAAATAGAAATACAGGTAAGAAAATAGAAGTGAAAAATGGAAAGGAGGGGGTAAATTATTATTTGCCGTTAATATTGTTATATAACTGGGATCCAAGAGAATCAGCTAGCAATTGTCATAAGCATTAAGATGATTCTGGAAAGTAACTGGATACAATATTAATACACAGAAAGCCATAGTAGTCATATATAAAAATGACATATTTGTTAAGAGATATAATGAAAAACTATAATAGCAACAAAAATGAAAAATTGACAGAAATGTAAGACATATAAAGAAGTATTTAATCTAAATTATCAAATTTATTGGCATGAAATTGTAACATTTCCTTATCTTTTTTTAAAAAAGAGCTTTATTGAGAAATTCACATACCATAAAATTCACCCATTTAAAGTCAATTAGATAAGCCCATTTGCTAATATTCAAGTTAGTGACTTTTGGTATATTCAGAGTTGTGCAACCATCACCAAAATCGTCATTCCCAAAAGGAACCCTATGTCCATTAGCAGTCATTTTCCTTTCACCCCTCCCCTTATGGCAAACCTATTGACTGTGGAATATGGGTTTCTGGACTCTTACTTATGTTCCATTCACCTATACTATGTCTGTCCTTGGGCCAACAGCACACTGTCTTGATTATTTTAACTTTGTATAAGTTTGAAATAGAGAAGTATATGACCTGTAACTTAGTTGTTGGTTTCACTATTAAATATGATATTTGCTCTCTGACATCCCTTTTGTAGAGCATTAATTCCATTCATGAGGGCTCCACCTTTATGACCTAATTACCTCCCAAAGGCCCATCACATTGAGGGTTTAGGATTTCAACATATTTTGGAGAAACACAAATATTCAGTCCCTAACACCCATTAATAATGTCAGTGGGAACTGTAATAATATCCCCTTTCTTTCTTGATGCTGGTAATGTGTATCTTTTTTCTTTGTGTGTGTGTGTGTGTGTACATGTGTATATCCTCATTGCACATATATATTATACACCACACACACACACACACACACACACACACAGAGTGGGTGGTGTGTGACAGAAAATCTCTGGAGTATACCAGAAATTTGGTACATTGGTTGCCTCTGGAGAGGGAAATTGTATGGCAAGGGACCTGGAGTGGGAGGGAAACTTTTCAATGATACTTTTCTCAACATTCTGATTTTGTACCATGTGACTATATTACCTTTTCAAAATAAATTTAAATTTTAAGAAAAGGTGCTGCATCAAGGAAGATAAATGTCTACGTTAGAGGCCTCTATCTGCCTTCCTGAGGTTCTTGACTTTGGTCCCTTGTTTTCTTTTACCTTCATTTTTTGTTTTTCCTTTTTCCCTTCTGGAGCGATCCAATCAAGGACCTGAGAAGGATTTCAGGGTGCAAGTTTCTGGCCCTGCTTCACTGTCTGCAAATGATAAAACATCTTCCTTTTCGTTCTTCTACAGAACAACCTGCTGGCTGGGCCGAGTTTGTTCTTGAGGAAGACACATTTGAGCCCGAGCCTGTCTTCCCAAGGTAATCCTCTCTCCAGTTCCCTTCCGCTTGCGTCCCAGCCTGCCCAGGTACACGAGAGATTCCTGTCGGCTTTCCTGAGGCTAATTTTCGGGAGCATTTTTTGCTGAGCTCTCCCTCCCCTCAATACCTGCTAAGCTTGTGGAGGGGCATACAGGTGTACAGAGGCCAGAGGTGACCCACCCAGGCTCTTGCAGATGAAAAGCTCACACACTTTTCTGCAAGGGGTAAGGCTTGCTGGCTCCTGGACAGGAGGGTATTAGGTCTGCTTCATCAGCCCACAGGTGGAGAGGGCAGGGGTGTCAGGGGGACTGAGTGTAAATGTGTGTTTCTAGGCTAATTTTAGCTAAGACTGTCAGCCTCATTAGTATGGGTAGGAATTTTTGTTAAGACTGCTATTTGGGATCATTCATTACAAAAACTTCATAAAGCCCACAGAGAAAGTAACCTTGAGAAAAGTTCAGTAATGTTTGCTGACTGAAATTGTCCCCTCCAATCCTGTAGGACCGCAGGCACCATCCAGCACTGCCTCCACCTGACCTCGGTGTACACTCATTTCCTGCCCCAGCATGGCCGCCCAGAGGTCACCACAATGCCCCTGGGTATTGGAACAACAGTGGATTACATCTTCTTCTCAGCCGAGTCCTGGGAGAATGGGAACAGGACTGGTAAGCCTGGTGGATTCTGGGTTCCTAGAAGCCACCCCATGAGTCCCTGGAACAGCTGATGGTAGGTCGGGCATTTGGTGGCATGGCTTGGGCTGCTGAGCTTGACCAGCAAAAGAGCAGATTTTGTATTTACCTAGCACTGGACATCTTCATTATACTTCCCGTAGGCCACTTGTCTGCCTTCTCTTTTTATCCTTGTGTAGCTTTAGAGAGAGGGGGCCAAAAATAGAGCACCACAATGTTACTGGATTTGTTTAGTGGCAGCTGGTTAGTGAGAAACTTGGTGAGGTTAGAGGCCCTATTTCCTATCTTCTCACCCCCACACCGGTGGTCACAGTGTAGCATTCTTCAGCTCCATGTCTGTCTGTTTAATACATGTCTTTTAAAATGCTTAAGATTGCCTATGTTTAAAAATCAGATTTTTTAATAGAAAATCTGGATTTCCAATTTTTCTTGGAAAAGCAAAAGAACTTGTAATGTTGGGCCTGGGCATACACTCTCCACTTTGCCCCAGTCCCCTGGAACCCACCCTGCTTCATTGATACATCATGGAGCATCTGAGAAAATGAGGCCTCAGCCAGAGGCAGCAGGAGTGGAGGGAGGTGGGGAGCCCAGGGGACCCACCCCGTGCAGTGTGACTGACTGCTTTACCCACCAACTTCTGCTTTGTGCCCCAGATCGCAGGCTGTATCGAGACAGAACTCTGAAGCTCCTGGGCCGTCTCTCCCTCCTCTCGGAAGAGATTCTCTGGGCTGCCAATGGCCTCCCCAACCCCTTCTGCTCTTCAGACCACCTCTGCCTGCTAGCCAGCTTCGGGATGGAAGTCACCGCCCCATGACGGGGCTCCCAGGGGAAGAGAGCCGCTCTTCCAGAAGAGCTCACTGGATCAGAGACTGTGGAAATATCCCCTGCTTCTGGAAACTTAGATCCAAGAAACTTCCATCCCCTCCCCCATCCTTGTTCCCTTTCTCCCGTGGTTAGATTTTCTCTGGGCCTGTCCATGTTCTCTGCCAGTGGTCCCTTCCCCACCCCAACCTCTTCCTAATCCTGTGCCACATACTTGGTGGCCCTGGGAGAGGCAGAAGGGGGGTTCCCCCTTCCTTCCATGTATCCAGCACTCCTCTTGATTTTTAATTACCAGGGTTGTGGGAGCTATTGATCTCATTGGTTATTTGCTTTCAGGCTGTTTCTTGGTGGTACTTTCTGATCCGACCTCCTCCCTGCCTTCACAACCTCTGGGCCCAGCCCTCTTGCCGGCACACACGTGGGAGATGTGTACATGTGTATACCCTCTCAAGGCGGGGCTACTCTGAGTGGCCATGCTTGCCTCTGAGCAGCCTGCTTTGCACACGGGCCGTCGGCCTAGGGGCAGGCCGAGAGCAGACCCAGTGTCTGCGCTGCCAGGCAGGCGGTAGCAGGGGCTTGGGACCTTCTCCTTTTATCCTGTTTCATCAGGTGTTCATCATGCCAACCAGGGCACACTCATCATCTGAGCTCTGGGAACGAATGGGTCCCACAGCCAGGAGCAGCAAATTCGGGGATGCCCTCCCTGCCCCGGAGGCCTCCGCGCCTCCAGCCCAGCTCCCCACGGGCCCGCTATGCTTTCACTCGGGCTGGTTCCTTTCCCAGGCTGCCCTGAGGAGGGCCAAAGTTGTGTGGGGTCGGTGGGCTGGGACAGTGATTTAAGTTTTAAACTCTTTAAGGGTTAGGAGGAAGAACCTTCAGGACTCTGCCGCCCCCAGAACTGGGGCGAGGGTGGGGGTCCCAGTAAGGAAAGAAGAGGCAGGCTCTGCAGCTGCCTCAGCTGGGCTCAGGGCCCCAGGGCCTTGTTCTCTTTCCTCCCACCACTCTTCACCTTGACCTGCCTCCCTCGTTCCCTTCCATTTCTCCCTAGAAAAGCCTGCCATGTAGGTCAGGCCAAACCTCACAGAAAGGTGGCCTTGGGCAAAAGTGAGGAGTTGTCCGGCCAGCAAGGTCTCAGCTGCTCGTGGCCTCTGCTTTCCCTCACCTAGCGCCGGGGTACCGCCCACTCGGGGCGTCCGTGCTCACACGTGTCACCTGCATGCCTTAATCTCTCGTTGCTGGGGTGGCCCCCGTGTTCCTGGGCCAGCTGTTGCTCATATCCCTTAACTCAGAGTAGCCGCTGGTCCTGGTTGATTGGACTTGCCGTTGCCCCACACGGCCTCCAGAACAGGACTGAAGGTCAATGGTCTCTTCCCCCTGTTTTGAAAGCCAAAGACCCAGCTTGAATTCTTCTGTTGTGTTCATGACTATAAACTTTCCACACTAGGTTCTGGGAAATTCCTCTGTGTGTGTATTTTTAAACATTGTTTCCTGGGTACTGGGCATGTGCCTGTCTGAGCCCCAGGCCTGTCTGTCCATACCCCACCATTCCCTTTGTTCGCCTCTCTGTGGGCACCTCCTGAGATGACCTGTTGTTTTCTAAGACAATGGCCTGTCACTGTTCTCCTGTGCCAGGAAATGCAGTTTAAAAATGGCTGAAGGTGGCAGAGGGCAGGTAGCCTGATAGATAAATCGTTTTTGTTTTGTTTTCTTATTTGTTTCTGTTTTGGAAACAAAATGGGGGTTTCAACTGGTCATTTAAATTCTCTTTTCCAATAAAGGTTAACCTTTCCCCTTCCTGTTGGTCATTTTGTTAGGATCCTGAAGGGCCTGGGGAGAGAAGGCCTGGAGAATGAGGTGGGCAGGGAGAAGACTGATCTGTGGTGAGGTCTCGAGTCTTGACTCTAGACCAGAGAACCGTTGGAATCTCCCCTGATCACGGAGGCAGATCCCGCGGTTCTGAGGGCTGGGGGAATGGGCTTGGGCCACGCCAGCTGCCCTGACTTGTGGGGCAGCTCTCTTGTCCACGCTTGCCCAGCTGGAGGAGAACAGCTCTTTCAGCTGCTTCCGTTCTTGTTCCATCTGCTGCCCCCCGCCCCCCGCCCCAGGCCACACTGCATTTCAGGGGGTCTGTGTGGACAGCGGGTGGGACGGGCTTTCCTGGTCCAGCGGTAGCTGCCTCTCGCCCGCTGAGCTACTTCTGGTCATCTCTCTTGCGTCCCGGAGCCAGAGCTGAGCTGTGGGCCGTCTCCTGCTGGAAAGGTTTCTCTTCCTTCCTGGGTTTCACTCTGCTGCTACTTTGTCTCCCTCCAGACTCCATAAGCCAGCAGGTCCATCAAACCCATGCGTGCAAGGGAAGCCCTGAAGCCAGGGGTGGTTTTCTGCCTTACCTGGACGAAGTCCCAGACCCCAACCTCTGAGTCAGTCTCTGAGAATCCGAGTCACTTAACGCTGCCTGGGTGCTTGTGTTGAACCACCTGGGTTGGGTCAGTGGCCAGCACACAGCCGGGGACTGGGAACAGCACTTGTCATCTCGGACTAGCCCCTTGGTGCCTGGGTAAGTTAACCCGTTTCAGCTCACGGATCTTGGTGAAATGGAAATTAAAGTGATACTATTTTCCACTTGTGAGGAGTTTTTGCATCCGAAATTGCACTGTTTGGGCTTTGGCAAGCGAGGGCTGCTAAGAATGGCAGACTATTGGTGGAAGGTGCGGGTGGGTCGTCCTCCCCAGCCAGGCTGGACGACCGGCCCACGGGCTAGGGATTATTTTACAGCTCCTGAGCTTTGAGGGGTGTCCCCAGAGGTTTCCCGACCTGGAGGGCTTCCTGCTAGTCGCCTGAGGCAGGTAACACGTGCACAGGTTTTATCAGCAGGTCACCCAGACTCTGCTCCACGGTGAGTAGATGGCAGCACCGCGGCGGGCAGCTGGGTGTCCTGCAGCTGGGTGTCCTGCGCTGCCTTTGCATCTGGGGAAGCAGAAATCCCACAGACGTAAATTGAGTCTCCTTTGCTTTGTTTCTTGCCCCCCGAGACCTCAGCACAGCCCTTCCAGGCGTAGAAGAGACAGGTCATCCTTCAGGGCAGACCCATGGGCCTGGGAGAAGGGACACCGCCCACCAGGCTGCTGCACTTTGCTGTCGTTTTTAAACTCCGTTTTGTTTTTCTCTCTCGTTCTTGCCCCGGTGTAGCTACTAAAGGATTGATTGGAGCCGCCCCTTCTAGTTTCCACCAGGGGCAGAGCGACCTGTTAGCCCCGTGCTTTCAGACTCATCCTGGGGCAGTGCCTCTCGGTTCCCTCCCGAGCAAATATGCAGAACAGAACCGGCCCAGGCCGGGGCCAGCGAGAGGAGGGCCTGGGCTGCAGACCTTGCCCGGGTTAGCAGAACGTAAACGTGGTGTGTTCTGAAGGGAACTCTGCCTTCGGCCCCGACCCTGATCGGTTTTTGTGCTTCTAAGGCCTGAAGCCTCACCCAGATGTGGAGAGGAATGGAGTTTCTACGCTTCAGTTCTTGGAGGTTTTGTCTTTCCCACGACCAAGTCCTTTCAGGTTGCAGGTTCGAGGGCACATTCCCAAGTGGGCTGGCCTCAGAGCGCTGTCCCTTCTGCTGATCCGAGGTGGCCCATCTCTACCACCTGCCAGGCCTCAGCAGCCTGTTCCCGCACCCCCTTGGCAAGCACGAGGGATACCAGCCAGCCGGCATCTGGGCCAGTCGTTGGTATGACTGCCGCTGCCTGTCACCACTGCCCTCGACATACTGGTCAAGATGTCAGGTCCTGGCGGACGGGGTGGCAGAGCTTCAACCTCCCCGTGCAGGACTCAGAAGTGCTACCGACCTCCAAAGTCCCGACCCAAAGTAGCCACGTGTCTCAAGTAGGCAGGCACATGCTGTGGGCTTGAAGGAAACAGGAAAGCAGGAAATGGGGCAGCCCCGGTAAGTGGGGGTCTGATCCTTCTGGGGTCCATGACATTTACCGCTGCAGCCGTTCTAAGAAAGTGGCCAAGCATGTCCACCATGAGCCTGCTTGACTCGAGACAGATCCTTGCCCCCAGCTCTTACCCAACTTTCACTTGCAAGAGAGCAGCCTCCGGGCCCACTGTCCGTCTCACTGAAGCCCACCCACAGGAGGCCCTTAAAGGTGTGTTAGCTGGACTGCGTGTGTGGATCACAACGCTGCCTTTGTGTGAAGGTGGAGACTCCTAGATAGTCCCAAGTCCTGGTTACCTTCATTGAAGAGCCCTTTTTGGTTTTAACCTGGGGTTAAATGAGCCTGTAAGTAACAAAACTGCCTCTATTTAGCGATGTGGAGTCTGCGCATTCCAATGGACGGCCTCTCCCTTCCCAGCCTCACTACCACACCACGGAAGGGAGGGGGCCTCGCTGTGCTACACACACTGTAGTTAGGACTCCGTGGGGACTGGCTAGGATAAGAAGCAGGAAGTGTTCTGCCCCCTCTTACAAGTCTAGTATTTACTCTGCAGCTAATGAGAGGAGAGCAAGAAGAGGTGAGGAAGGGTTAAAGGTGAAAGCGCTCTAGGGTCTAAAGGACATGGTGCAAGCTGCTTGTAACTGTCTGGGCTTATCTGAAGCATGGGAAGAGGTCCAGAGTCAGAGGAATGATCAAGAATGGGTGACGGCCCTGGCCGGTTTGGCTCAGCGGTTGGAGCATCGGCCTGCGGTCCAGAGACCCGGGTTCAGTTCCCGCTGAGGGCACGTACCTCGGTTGCAGTTTGTCCCCGGCCCTGGTTGGGTCGTGCGGGTGGCAGCCACTCGATGTGTCCCTTTCACGTCGATGTTTCTCTCTCTCGTTCTCCCTCCCTCCCACTCTATCTGAACAAAAAATAGAAAAATGTCCTCGGGTGAGGATTAAAAAAATAAAAAGAATAGGTGACGGATGGAACCAGACGTGTTTTCCAAAGCTGGGGCTTTAACTACCCCAGCTTCTGCACTGTTAACTGATGAGAAGGGACTGCAGATCCCTGTTGCCAGGGTTTCCTGAAATAACCTCGTCTCCCAGGAGAACATGCACCCTCTCCCCCTCCGGACGGCCGGCCGGGGGATACAGAGCGGAGGCGCAGGGCTCTGGAACGCATGGTGGCCTGGGAGCGGACCCCGCCTCCCGTGGGAACCCAGCGGGCTGTGTGAGGAGGGGCTCCTATTGTTACAGCCAGCAGGAACGATCCCCCAGATTAGGGTTAGCGAGCTCTGTGGCTTTGGCAGGCAGAGGGTGGCAGGCTAGGAACCCAGAGATTTCGTCAGGACTGCAGGGGTTGTGGGGTTTCCTGTTGGCTGGTTTGGGGCTCCCCTCACCTCCGGTCAGTTCCTCCCAGAGACGCCGGAAAGGCTGAGGCGGACAGTGGTGGCCGGGGGCTCAGCCCCAGCTCCCAGAGGAAAGGAGACAGGGCGTCCGTGTGGTTCCAGCCCAGCCCGTACAACCAGCGCTGGGGAGACTTTATTCATCGGGGGAGGGGAGAACAGGGAGAGACAAGTGGAAAGGTGGAAGGGGAGGCGCAATACTGACAGAAGAGGAGGGACAACTCCAGTACAACACGCGTCCCAAGGCGAACCGGGGAGGGGCCGCCACCAGGCCTGGGGCCAAGCACACCTGGTTGCTTCTCTCGGCAGGCTGGAAGAAAAGGGGACTTGGGACTCAGGAGCACCAAGATGGGGTGAGGGGTCAGTACTGATCGGCCTGCAGCTGGCACCAGGCGGCTCTGCCAGGCGAGGGCCAGACCCCGCTGTCCCCCACGCCTCCAGCGGAACCTCCCTGCTCACTGAGAACGGCTGAGACGAGGACAGGAGCTGACAGAATGCCGTCGGGAGGCCGGGCCAGCTCTCACCTGGCTCCGCAGCCAGAGGGCAGGCCTGGGGATGCTGCTGCGGCTAAGCCAGGGAACCACCCAGACAGGAGGCCCAGGCGCACACAGGCCTCTGGGCAGGCTACTGACCAGAATCAGACCCGTCCCAGAGCCAGGAAGCCCCAGCTGGAGGGAGCGGGGTGTGAGGTGACATGGCCCAGCAGGCTCTCTGCTCCAGAAACCTGGCCCTAGGCTGTGCACGGCACCGGGGCTGGGGCTACGATCCTCCCCCTTGGCCAGGCCTAGAGAATGGGGTGGCCGCTGAGATGGGGCAGGGTGACTGTGCCGAGACCGTGGGAGGAAGAGGACTGGCAGGCGGGTGGGAGGGTGGGCTCTCTAAACCCAGTTTCCTGGCACCAAGCACAAGGAACCAGGCTTTGGGGAGCAATCACCTCCCACCACCTGACCCACCTTCATCCGGCAGCTTTCTGTGACCTCACCGTGACGCCTGCTCAGGCGGCAGCCCACACCCCTGGGGTCAGAGGAGCCCATGCCAAGAGCTGGAGGGCAGTCCTGTCAGGAGGAGCCAGGCTCCTGTCCCTCACAGGAAGTGAGATGAGGTGACACTGAGGATGCTGACGAAGGCCCCGAGGTCCCTGCTCTGCCTCCCCAGGAACTCTGCAGCCAGGCCGGCCCCAGGGAGCAGAGCCTGTGTAAACACGCCCAGAGGGGCGACGGGGTTGCTACATATGAGAAACAGTTAAAAATAAATGAAAAAGCACCGCTGTATCCTGTGGCGGTCTCCAGAGGCCCACGGTCTTAGCGAGGAAGGGCGAGTGCTCAGGGATTATCGACTGGAATGGTCAGCTCCCTCCCTCACAGGGAGCAGCTGGAGTGTGGACTTCACGCTGCCTCCTGCTCCCCAGAGGCCCGTGGAAGGAACCTGTGGTTGGGGCAGCTTCCCTGTTTCCCGGCCCAAGCTCCCAGCTGCCTCACATCTTGTCCCCTCAAGCCCCATGGTCCACTGGGGCAGCCAGGACCCCTTCCCTGCTGAGCGGCCTACACAAGGCACCCACATCCAGACCTAGAAATGGCCTCCTCCTTAGACTCATGCCTCCCAGAAGGGAGCCAGCTCTGTCTTAGGTGACTGTGGCAACATGGGACCACCACTCCACGTCCCGAAACTGGGATGGGTGGTGAGTCGGCGGTCACCATGGCCCTTGGATGGTCTGGCTGGGGTGCAGCCAAGGGGTCAGGTTAAGTACCTCCCCAGGGACCAGTGACTCATGAAGAACCCAAGGGCTGACCGGCTGGCCTTCCTGCTGGGTCTGGCTCTGGGCTGAGAGCTGCCGGTCTGAAGAGCTGCCAGCCTGGTGCCTTCCCTGATGGGCACTTGCCTCAGCAGAGTGTCTCCCCGCCTTCCTCCTCCTCTGCTTCCTGAGTGCGATCCATCTCCAGGGCAGGCTGCGAACCGCACTCTCTACTCCACCCTCTGGCGACATGGCAACCATGGGGGGGTCTCTGGACTTCAGGGAGAGTGAGTGCAGAAGACGAACAGGGGACAGCTGCCCACTCTGGCAGCCTCAGCAGCCAGACCCCTGTCCTGGCCCAGCCTGCCCTGGGAAGCCTAGAACTTTCATCCTTCCCACCTCAGAGCACATCCGGACTTCTTTCCAGCACGCTCTCTCTCCTTCAGACAATACAAGTAGGCATTCTCTCTCATGTTGGTTTTCTAAATTTCCTGAACTGATTGCCAACATTTACAAATCAGGATATTTCACATAAAAATCCAGAGTTCTGGCCTGTGGAAAAAAATCAGAAAATCTGGCAATGCAGGGCCTGCACTCAGAACAGCTGAGCAGCAGCGGCCACTATAATGGAGTATATGCCCTCTCTGGTTTGCCACAGTCCCCACCGAGCCCTGCAGTCGTCCTCTTATCACCTGCCTGGCCCTGGAAGGCATTTGAGTTTACAACTCCAGTTCTGATCCTCCCTTTTCCAGGCTCCCAGCCCCTCCGCAGCCTTCCTAACAGCTGCCCCTGGCTGAATCATAGCCTCTCAGTTAAAAGAAACCTCATTGGTCCTCTCATCCAGCTACCCTTCCATAACCTGAATCCTCTCAACAGCTTCCTGATAAGTAGTCGAGTCATTGCTTGAATACCTCCAGCAACAGGGAACTCACTACTCTAAATTCTCCCCCACATCCTTTTCTCACTTACATCACCCAGTTCTCAGGCTCTGTCCCTCCTCAGGGGCCACACTGTACCCTTGTCCTACACCTCCTTGTTGCTTAAACCTCTAGAACCTTCACCCAGCCCCACCAACCTCTTCCCACAACCTCTCAACTGCTCCCCAGTTCTCTCATGCCAGACGGGAAAGCTGTGCAGACTCTGGCTGTTCAGGTTCTTCCTGGCAACAGGCCTGACCATCACAGGGACCCCCCAACCTAAACAGGCTGCTAAATGAGGGGAGGTGGGCCTGGGGCACAAACATTCTGGTCTGGTCTTCATTTCCCCAACAAGGGCTGAGAGAACAAAGGAGGGAGGAGCAGTACCCATCCCTGGGGACTGCCAGGGGACAGACCCAGGCCTGAGTGTACCACCCTGTCCCCAGCCACAGTTCCTGGACCCGCCAGCTCTGCTCAGTCCCTACAATCATGCTGAGCACAGTGCAAATCTGAGCCCTTGGCAAAGCCTATCCCCTCTGCAGGGAGCTCCAGCTTCAGCAAGAGGCAGAGCTCAGCTGAGCAAGACGGGGAGGGGCGTAGGAACTCTTTCCCCAACGGTCCTCTCCTGAGCTTCCCTACAGCCCCCCAGCAGGGGGCGTGCCAGTAGGCAGTGCCAGTTCACACAGCATCATCGCCCATGGGGCTGCAAGGGCCTGCAGGCTCTCCTGGGCCATGGACTCCTGCACTTGGAGGAGATGTCACTTGTATCAAGCTCCTGATAGGGGCCACACAGACCTCTCCTAGGATGATTCCGACCCTGCTTCCTTCTCCCTGTGTCAAGATGCTGCCGGGACAGGTGACGTGCAGAGACGCCTCCACCCCTCTGCCGTCCTGCCACAGGCCTAGTGGGCTGGGAGATTTCCCATACACGGGATGGACCCAAATCCGAGTCGGCAGGGGCAGGGGAACCAGCAGAGCCAGCAACCCCTCCTCACCCAGCCAGGTGGCACTTAGTTCTCCTTGGCACAGGCCGGCCAGCCACTGGCAGATCCATTACATTTTTCGTATTTCCCAAAAATACCGTAAACTTTAGTTGTCAAGTTAAAAACTCCACATAAAATGCTAACTGCCTCTCAGCCCAAAGTTAGGAGGCTTGGCCCAGGGGGAGGGGCAGCAGCCTGGGTGGCTGAGCTGCAGCCTCGCACCTGCTCCGTCCCCGGCCCTTCCTTCCCCACGAGCCAGGCTGGTTCTGGCAGGAGATCCAGGCCCCCGAAGGGGGCGAGGCTGGGATGCGGCACCGCCTCACACCCGGATCTGGTATCCATTGAGGTCTGGCATGGCTTTGGGCTCGGAAGGCTTCTTCTCACCCGAGGGCCTGCAGGGAGGAGAGCAGAGGAGGGAGAAGGGTGAGTGGTCCGTCAGGGAGGGGGGAGGAGGGAGCCAGTGGCGCTGCCCCATGTCTCCCCTCTCCTCCTCTTCAAGGTGCCCCAAAGGCAGCAGCAGAGTCAGCGTGGAGGTTGTTTCCGGAATTCCAAGCTGCCTGTGCTGCCGGAGGGTGGTCCCTGCACGCTCTCAGGCTCCTGCTCCTTGCCAGAGGTCAGCTAATCTGGCCGCAGCGGGCTGTAAGAGCTTAATGTGTAAACCTCTGCGAGGGGACCCTGTCTCCACACAACTCTCCTCGCTCAAAGTGAATGACGCTGGCTAATGGAAGCCTGCCGGTGCCCCTAAATCATACAAGGGAGGTGGCTCCTGAATGACAAGGATATTGAAAGCAAGAACCAGACCGACAGGAGACAAATCCGAGGTGGCGTTTTAATGGGATGTTTCTACCATCTAGATAGAGGCAAAAACCAGAGACTCACAGGGGCAAAAAGATGTATTAAAAGCCGTCTGCCAGCTGCTGTCTGATGTTCATAACTTTCCCAACGATAGTGCTGGGAGAACTCACTATCTGCCAGGGGCCCATCCCCCTCTTCTCCCGTATACGCTGGCCTCGGACCTCTGGCCAGGCCCCAGGGTAACCAGTGTTGCCTTCCCGGGGAAATGGGCCTACACTGCTGGGATGTGCGACATAAACACAGGCCCACCACCCCAAGTCACCTCCCTCCCGCGGGGCAAAAGAGAACAGTGGGAATGAGGAAAAGGGAGTGACCGAAAGCAGGGACCCAGCAGATGAGAGGAAAGGAAAGAGCCATTTTCTGGCCCCCGAGGCTTGACCTATCACTCACCGCCTTTCACTGCGGCTGTTTCTGCGGTGTGGGCTGGACTGGCTCCGCTGTGGGGAGGACACGTCCTTCTTCCGGTCCTTGGTTGGGGAGGGAGGGCCTGTCCCTTTGCCAATCTTGATGGGGAGGAAGAAACAGAGACTTATTCCAGGGCTGCCGTGGAGCAGAGCCGGTCCTGCTCTGGAGGAGCCGCAGCCCTGAGGCTGCACTGGGCCGGGCCCAGGAAGCTCAGGCAGCCACTCTGCTGTCCCCACGTCTGTCTTCCCAAACCTGTTTTCCAGGCACTAAAGCTGCCAGGGCAAGGGTTCCTCAGCAGGGCTGCTCAATCCCAGTTGGCCCCTAAAATAGTGTGATTGTAGGGGGATGTCACTGAGCCTTTGTGATATTATAAGAGGCCCTCGAGAAAGGGGCCATTTACCCATGCCAGCCGGCTGGGGAAGCATCCGTGTCTGAGCTTTAGGCTGGGATCCTACCAGCCCCAAGGGTGACAGTGCTTATCTCTAGCCAATCAGAAACTCAGACTGGTAGCTATTAAGAAACAATTGAGAAAAGCCAATGAATTACCCTTTATGCAGCACAGTCAGCTTGGTCTAAATTTTGACAACATGGGGTATACTGTGGGGGGTGCTGGAGAGGGGATAATAATATGGGGAGTCCTTAGCACCGAACAGACCGATAATCACAGCACTAAAGACTAGGTAACCAGTGGTTTCAGCTCTAGGTCCGAACTGCTCCCTTGAAGATGCAAAATATTCCAGCGGCAGGAGCCAGGGAGCTGGGCCACCAGAGTACAGAGGGAGGGCCAGCCCAGAGCAGGGAGGAGAGCAGCCCCTGAAAATGGCAGGTCCGCTGCAGCCCACTTCTGCCCCGGGGAAGGTGCCCATATGGTCATGGCCTAGAGGTTGGCAGGGCAAAGCCTCCGGGACAGGGGTGTGGGGAGCATCAGTGGATGTGAGTACCAAGGTCATGGTCCTGGCACCCGGCTGCCAGGAGGCACAGAGTCACAGCACAGCAGTGACTGAGCAATGGGGAAGGGCTGAACACCACGAAGGACCTGGCAGGCCCCCGGGGGGCACCCTCAGTCCAGGGGGACAAGGGAGAGGCCAAGATTCTCCCCACTGTAAAGCTCAGGGGCAGCAGACCCTCCCACTCCTGCTCATCGGGTGGGATGGGGGAAGGAACTACTATCTCTGTCTTCCCAGGGCCTGACTCCCTCCCGGTCCTCTACTGGAAGGCGGTGTTTAGGGTTCAAGAGTGAGGATGCACAGGTGATGGAGGCCACGGTACCCAACCCTACCACTCCCTCCAGACAGGCCGTGAGGGTCTTTACCCTCCGCCTGGAGTGCTGCCCCCGCCCCTTCTCCAAGTGTTCAAGGCCTACCCTGTCCCCACACCCAACTCACACGCGCCTCCTTCTGGAGCCTTCCCGGGCCTGCCCCCCTGAGGGGACTGTCTCAACAATAGTGACCTCTGAGCAAAGACGCTGGAAACTTCCCACCCACCATGGCTGGGGTGGCAGTGGGGCTGGGGCGGGCTGAGGGGGTGTCCCTGTGGGAGTGTCCATTAGGAAGTGGCAGCCCTCTACCTGCACGGGGAAGAGGCCTTGCGCGTGGGCAGGGCGCGCCCACACTGACCTTGAGCCGCATGTCGCGGGCGTGGCGCTCCAGCTCCTTGCGGAAGTCCTCGCGGGCCAGCCGGTCCACGTCCAGGACGGAGTGCTTCCACTCGATCTGCTCCACGCTGTGCGGGTCGTGGGACACGCACTGGCCCAGCTTCACCTTCTTGAGCACGTGCCAGCAGCGGCCGTAGGCGGCCTCGTAGTCCAGCACGAGCTCGCTGAGCGTGCGGAAGGCCGGGGGCTTGTACATCAGGTCCTCGCGCCGGCTCATGCCCAGGGCCCCGTAGCGGCCGCCGAAGTTCACCCCCAGCACGATGTGGCGGAAGTAGTTCCCTGAGAAGTAGCTCTTGAAGCTGATGGGGAAGCGTTCCAGGGTGGGCATGCTGTTGGTGAGGTAACTGGCCACGTGAGCCCAGCTAAGGAACCAGCCAGGGAGGGGCGCGGAGACAGGACTGGGGCTGCACGCCCCTACCCCAGGGGACAGTCTGCGTGAGGGGCCCCCAGATCCCTGGCTCCTGGCACCATGCCTTGCTCACCTCCATGTCCTACTGTCTAGCCTTGAGCCTGGCATACAGTAGGTGCTCAATAAACTGAATCTGTAAGGGGCAGGCTCTCAGTGATTAGTGGCTGCGGCTATGATGTCCAGCACGGCTCACAAAAGGATAGCTAAGAGCGAGTCCTTCCCTCTAAACCGCAGGGCTCTCCAAGGTACCTGTGGCTGAAGGAGGCATGACAGAGGCCTGCTGGCTGCAACCCTGCCCCTCCTCTTCCCTCCTCTCTCCTTCCTTCCCCCAATCTCACACACTTCTCCCCCGCCGCCACTCTCCACACTGTTCTCACAGTGTCTCTCTCTCACGCATACATTCCCTCAGATGCAGACAATTCTGTTCTCTTCCATGCCCCCCCCCCCATACATACACTTACTGCCCATTGCCCTGCAAATAAAACCAAGCTTGTGCCCACAGCCTAGGAGGCCAATGCTGCCTGGCCCAGTGGCCCATTCCAACCTCCTCCCTCACTGGCCCCACCTGCTCAACCTCTCCGTCCACCTGGGTTTCCCACCTGAGGACCTTCTGCACTAACATTTCCCAGAGGGCTGCTCCCCGCCAGCCCTGGACTGGCTCCTTCCCATGCCTTAGGCTTGGCCATCATCACTGACCTCCCTTTCTAAAGCAAGTCTGCCCTGCTCTTTATTTTCCCCACAGCACACTCACCACAAGCTGTAATTATTCTTTTTTATTTTTATTTTTATTTTTTTATCCTCACCCGAGGACACTTTTCCATTTTTTGTTCAGGTAGAGTGGGAGGGAGAGAGAGGAACAGAGAGAGAGAGAGAAACATCGACGTGAAAGGAACACATCGAGTGGCTGCCACCCGCACAACCGACCAGGGCCGGGGACAAACTGCAACCAAGGTACGCGCCCTTAGCGGGAACCGAACCTGGGTCTCTCAGGACCGCAGGCCGACACTCCAACCGCTGAGCCAAACCGGCCAGGGCACAAGCTGTAATTATTTAACTATTTGCTTACTTGCTTTTTTGTCTCCCTGGCTGGACTGGGCACCTTGTTTGCCATGTTTTTTGCTGTGTCTCTGGGGCCTAGCCCGGAGATGGGCACATAATAGTTACTCAATAAAACTCGTCTTGACTGAATGGGTAGAAGATGAACGAGATAAAAGCTTGGAGTAGATACTGTGTACAGATACTATGCCAAGTGTCCTACATGTACCCACTCATTCAAATATCTTAGCCACCTGTGAGACGGGCACTACCATCATCCCCTTTTGCAGAGGAAATTGCTGAGGCTCAGAGATGTTAAGGAAATTGGTGGGGGTCACACAGTAAGTAGGTGACAGAACTAGGATTCAGGACCTTGCAGTCTAGGCTCTCAGTCATTACAATCCTTACTCAGCCTGACTCCTTGCAAGTCATGGAGGACACAGATGAGCAAGGCACAGGCTCAGAGCGCAGAGGATGAGGCACAGGCGCAGACCCAGGACAGTGGCCACCATGTGTGCAGCGACTAAGGGAGTCGCTACGGGGACACTGGGGAAGTCCTCCGCCCAGGTGGGGGCTGTCCTGTTTTCTTTCTGCCCACAAGTCAGCAGGTAACCCAGGAAAGGCTCTGAGATGACGTGACCCTTCCTGGACCAGCTTCTATGTGTCTGGGGGGAGAGGAGGTGTCTCCCTCCTTCAGTGTGGGTGGGAGCCCCACTTTGGTGTATGACCCCTGAAGGAGAAGCATTATGGGGTCATGAAGGAGGTGCTGGCAATGGCCTGAAGTTCTTGGGCTGGCCTCATGCTCGTCCCAGCAAAGAACCCTTTAGAAAGGGCAATGCCTGCCCTGGCCGGTTTGGCTCAGCGGTTAGAGCGCCCACCTGCAGTCCGGAGAGACCCGGGTTCGGTTCCCGCTAAGGGCACGTACCTCGGTTGCAGTTTGTCCCCGGCCCTGGTTGGTCGTGCGGGTGGCAGCCACTCGATGTGTCCCTTTCACATCGATGTTTCTCTCTCTCTCTTCCTCTCTCTCCCTCCCACTCTGTCTGTACAAAGAATGGAAAAATGTCCTCGGGTGAGGATATAAAAAAAAAAAAAGAAAGAAAGGGCAATGCCTGTCAGGTTCTGGGAAATGGCTGCCACAGAAGGGTTGGCTCTCGGGACCTCTGGGGGAGAGGGACTAGCCCCCTTCCCACAGTCTCTGTGTAATTTAAGGCAGCTGTGTCTATGGGGAAGGGGGCGTGGCCCCCTCGGATTCCAGTCCTCCTCCGAGAGGCTGTGCTCCTCCCCTTTGATCATCTTCTCCTAACCTACCCTCCTGGGTGGACTCCCTGTTCTGTTGGGCACCCTCCCCTCGTCCCCTTGGCATACTGAGCCAGGCGCCTGCCCCAGACACGGCCGACACAATATTTAAGAGCTTATGGTACTATGGGGAAGAGGGACAGGGAGGGACACAGAGGTGAACCAAGACTGGCCTTGAATTGATGAGAGTGAGTGCTGGGCACATGGGATTTACTATTTCGTTCTACATTCACACAAGCACACTTTTCTGTAGACAACCAAAAAGCTCAAGGCTCGGCATGAACCAATCAGGTCAGAGAACCGGCCCTACACACCTGCCTCCTACCTGCTCTAACTGGGGCTTATCTGCCCGCCTTGGGGCCCCGCTATCGCCCCGTGCTGCCCTCTGGGTGGGAGTGACTGAGAAACCCTCTGCTTTTTTTTAAGGCAGGCAGTTGTTTCAAACATCCCGCCCATCACCTCCACAGATCCACATGTCCTGGAAATGCCAACGTTTGGGCATTCAACCTGCTCTTCCAAGACCGTTTGGCTCTTGGAAATGGCACAATAGCCTTTGTGAGATAATGTGTCCTGATTTGGGGTTCAGAGACAGGGTCACTGGATCCACATGACTCGAGAAAGAGCTTCCCAGTAAGCCCAGGAAGTTAGCTCCTGAGCACGGGGGGACTGAGACCTCCTCAAGCACCTTCACTTTGGAGGCAAGTTCATGAGCGCTGGGAGAGCTGGGAGGGCCCGGGGCACACTCAGCCCTCCCCTTCCAGAGGATGTGCCTGCCCCTCCCAGGCCTCCCGGAGCTGAGGAAGGATACATTCCCAGGATCACGGCTTCCAGGCATTTGATTGGCAGAGCCTCTTTGGTCATTTCCTTGGCCAGGTCCATCAGCCTGGGGGGCAGGGAGGCAGAGCCATCAGGAGAGAGCTTCTAGCCATTTCCAGTGGGGCAGTGTCAGGAGGGGCAGGTGGATTAGAAATGCCAGACAGAGACCATCTCCCTTGCAGGTCGCCTCAGCTCAGGCTCAGCACCTCCCCTCCCTTCCCCTTGTCCATCCTGAGCCAGAGAGGGTGGGAGGAGAGGCAGCCACTAACGATAAGCAAGGAGGCCCTTTCCCTTCCCTCTTTTCACTTCCTCCTCCCACTCAAGGCTCCTGACCTCTGGGGGCAGGGAGCATGAATGGAGAGCACCCAGCCACAGGCAGCTCTTTGACAGCCACTGGGCTGGGGCCTTCTGCAATGGTGGTGCGGGGGCCAGTGGGAAAATCTGCCTTGGATACTGGGAACCTTGGCATTGATCCTGTCGCTTCTGGAGCACAGTGGACACCCCTGATCCAATCGTGGCGTCTCTAAAGAGCTTGTAATTGATTGCAAGTGCTCCCCCACAGCCGGCCAGCTGCCTGCGTCCGGACATGGCATCTCAGGCAGTGAGCCCGGTGACTCCCCAGCCTGCTCCTGAACTTGGAATTCAGGACACTTTAAGACAGCCTGTTCCTGAGGCCTGGCTCCTCCTTCCTCACTGAACGCTGCCTCCAGGTCTAAGAATGCAGCCTGGCTGCTGGCTCTGCCCAGGACGGTGCTGGACTCCTCCACCCACTGAGGCTGGAGCTGCGCCCTCACACAGAAGCCATCAGACAACAAGAGCAAAGCTCTGAGGGTGAGGGAGGCTGATTCCACCAGGGCCTCAGAGAGGGAGGGGGCAATTAAATAATTTAGCTAATAAACCACTTAAAGCATTCTTTGCAAGAAAGCAAACGTGGACAGATTATGTGTGGAGCAAGATGTAAAATTCATGTTAATTTTTAAAACACGGGGTTTTGAACCTGTGGACATTTTGAGCTGAGCCCCCAAGCCCAGTGAGGAAGTGGCACTCACTCCTCACTCTCCTCTGCCCTGGGGCTTCTGCGGGGCTGCCCGTCAGGAGCCTACACCTTGGATGGTGGATTAGGAAGTGAGAGATGCAGAGGGGTCCCTGTTGCTCAGACACAGGGCCTTGCACTAAATGACCAGAAGAATCCAGTAAGGCAAATGGGGTGACACACAGGGTCCCTGCAATGGGGAGAGATTTGTCCTGCTTGCTGGGTTCACCTCTCATTTAAAAAATGATAATAAGGCTTCTACACAGACCTCTACCTCTGTGATTACCAAGGCCAGCTGGGGGCTGCCTGCCACCCTCCCAGCTCAGCACGGGACCCTGTGTTCACCTTGGCCAGAGTTCCTCTTCCTGGCGTCCTAGGGCCCCTGCGGTGTGTGAGGGAGATGTGGCGGTGCAGGGGGACACTCGCCCCCGCTGGCACGCTCCCTTGGGAGAGGCCCTGACTGCCGCACAAGCTTCCACCCAAAGGCGCCCTGAGGGGGCGCCAGCCCGACCAGGAGCCCTGTCGGCCTCTGTGCGGAGGGACAGCACATGCCCACACTTACCCTGTGAGGGGTCTGCTCTTCTTAATTTCAAAGAACTGGGTCCCTGTGTGATTGTACCTGTGGTGCTGGTTAAGGGCTTTCCTGGATTGGTCTGGAAGAGGCATGTCCCTCCTCCCCCACCACCCCCAGACCCTGAGGCCCTGCACTCCCAGGGGTGTAGGCTGGGTAAGGACCGAATGAAGTGCTTCTCAGAAGGCCCTGCTCAAGACCTGACCGTCTGGAGGGGAGAGAAGGGAACAGCCTGTGTGCGTCTCCTTCCCCACATGGTCCCTCTCTGTCCTCTCTGGCTTCCACCCTTGCCTCCCTGGTCTCCCCTCCCAGCAGGCAGCCAAGCCAGATAGGGCTGGGACAGAGTCTGGGCTGCAGGCAGCTCTCTGTAGCACTTCATTTTCTAACCAGCTGAGCAGCAGCGTGGACCAAGAGGAGAAGGCTGGGGCAGGAGGTCCAGCTCGGCTAAATTGCTCGGGGCAGCTCCCAGGCCAACCTCCTCCCCTCCCCCGGCTGACATGTCCCCACTGACAAAGGAAGGGCTGGATCTGATGTTCAGTAACCAGCCTGGCTTTTCCCCTGCTTAGGACCTGGTCTTTCCATTTCTGCCTCACATGTAGCTAAAAGAGAACCCAGGATGTACTGGGCCCAGAGCAGGGACATCATGGATCTGGGGCTCTGAGGGTCCAGCCCTTTCACTGCTGGGAAACTAGCCCCCTGCCAGGGAGGAAACAGATAAAGAACTGGGAGAATATTCCAAGAGGTGGAAGTTACCTCCTTCTGCTGGGCTGGATGGACAGCAGAGGAGGTCTGGGCTGGTGGACCCAACTTGGCCACCCACCAGCAGGTAGCTCAGGAGACATCTGCCCCATCGCACAGAGAAGGAAGCGGGTGGTGGACATTGGGTCTGTGCTCATCGAAGTCCCTCTAATACCTGGGAGGACTCAGGCTGGGCTTGAACAACTCCAGGGGCATGGAGATGCCATGTGAATGGTGGCCCTGGAGCTGTGGCATGAGGTCGCTGAGTGGATACCTCTCCAGCCCAGCCTGAAAACAAGCCCCACTCGGCCTTTGGACCAGCACGCCAGCCAGCCCGGGGCCGGGACCCGGGACCTGGGACCTGGGAGGATACTGCAGCTCCCTGATGTAGCGCTGCACAGCTTCCAGGCGCTCAGGGACGGGCGTGGAGGGCTGGAACGTAGGCACAGTCGGTACGGGAATCTAGGGACAAAGAAAGAGCCCCGGTCACAGAGGGAGGATCTCCCTGGGGCCTCCAGCTCACTGGACACCCAGATTATCCCCCAGAGAAGCCAGTGCCGAGGGCCTCCCTGCTTCCCTCCTACCCCGAGCCTTTCTCCTTGGCAACCCTTCCTCTCCCTCCTGCAACTTAACAGCATTGCTAACTTCGAACTTACATTGATGTTCCAATTTTGTGTTTCTTTAATAATTTTAGGAAAATACAGGTTGACTCACCGACTGTTTTGAATTTTAAATATTCATCAACTTTAAGGCTTAATAAGAATGTCAGTGTTGTGGTTAAGTTCACTTGGATGTGGGGCTTGTTCTGATTCGAGTGCTGGATCAGAACTGGTTTACCTGGTGTCCCATCCTCCCAGGGCCTGCCCTGGCTGGGGAGCACTCCAGCGAGGGACACACACGCTCCCGGCAGAGGCTGTCACCCACCCTGTCAGGGCACACTGACCAGGCCTTCCAACTCCATGGCAACTGGAGTAAGTCAGTGGTGGCAGGCCAGAGGGACAGGTTTGGGGACAGGTCTTGCTGTGGTTCTACTTGCCACGGTCTAGTCACTTTGGTGGCATTTCACGGAGGCACAGGATCCCTGGTTCCCCTTCAAAACCTCCCTTCCCTGCCCAGCCGGTGTGGCTCAGTGGCTGAGCGTCAACCCATGCACCAAGAGGTCGCCAGTTCAATTCCCGGTCAGGGCACATGCCCAGGTTGTGGGCTCGATCCCCAGCGGGGGGCATGCAGGAGGCGGCCAATCGATGCTCTCTATCATTGATGTCTCTCTCTCCCTCTCCCTCTTTCTTCTCTAAAATCAATAAAGATAAGTTATAAACAACAACAAACCACCTCCCTTCCCTGCCCCTCCACCCTGTAAGCAGCACAGGTGACCGGGTCACCAGGCAGTCCTCCCCACCAGAAGACACTTTCCCGTGCTGGGCCCAGGAAGGGGAGAGATGGGGTGGCAGGCAGGCGCCTCCTGATGGCTGGACACCCAGAGGCGTGGGCAGCTGGGAGTTAGGTCAGAAGCTACAGACCCCTCAGGCTGTCCCCTCAACAGCCAGACAGTCTGCAGGGAAATGGGCCACCATGCAGGTGTGGGTCCCTGGGTCCCAGGTTCCCCTCTGGCCAGGGGAGCCCAAATCCTGGCAGTTTGGCTGCAACAAGTCAGTGAGGCCGAGGAGGCCGAGAGAAGCATCAGCCAGAGTCCTCTGGGGCTATAGAACAGACGTCTTTGGGCAGAAGAACCAGATTTCTGGGAACAAGTCCCACTCTGTGGGCACTGCCAGCTGAGAGGGGCCTCAGGCTCCTCACAGAGAGGTCCCACCCTTTTGCCCCAGGTCCCCACCAAGCCCCTCCTCCCATGGAGCCCACTCAGCAGTCTGGCGGGGAGGGGTGTGAGTGAAGGGAAGGGTCAAGCAGGGGCGGGCGGGGGAGCTCTGACAGTGACCCACGGTGATCACTGCACACCCCTGCCTGGGTTGCTGCTGATGGCTGGGGGCACAGGACCGCCTGTGATAGACACCTACTCACTCCAGAGGGTAGATGCGGGAGGCAGGCCCTGGAGAGACAGCTTTGCATGAACTTCCTCTCCCCACCTCGATGGTCCCTTCCGCCCTGTCTGGGTTGTCCCCCCGGCTGACCCCTCTGTCTGGAAGAAGCTATTTCCCCTTTCACATCACAGCTGCTCCAGCTGGCGCCACCACTTACAGTCACCAGGGGCATAAAAGTCCCAGGATGTGGGGGCAGGGGTGGGGAGTTCCCTCTTCCTGCCCAACCGCCCTGTGCCAAATGGGCTCCAGAACTCCCGGAGGCTTGGCTTGACTCCCGTGTGTCAGGACATGGGTGGGGGTGGGAGAGAAACTACTTCCCACCTGACTGTACACAGCGTGGCCCCGCCCTTCTCTGGCGGAAGGTCCTTGAGAGGCCGTCTTGGCGTCTCAAGTGAGGGCATCCAGTGATTTCCAGGAGCTCTGGCTACGGACTGCAAATGTGCCCTACCCCCCTTGAGACACTCCAAACAAGAGCCCTTGGCCTAAGCTCACCCCAGCCCTGGGCCAGGGCCGGGCAGCACCCAAGAAGACACCCCTTGCCATCCAGACAGAGGACCCAGGCACTGGCTGCTCCAGGAGAAGAAAATGACTCTGAGAGTTTAAAAACGACCTGGGCTCACAGCAGGGCTCAGAGGCTACCGTCACTGAGGTTCAGCTGGAAGGAGCCGCCCAGCCAGCTCCAGGACCCCGCTAACTCATTAACCGCTACAGACGGCGCAGACACGTTCTCCTGAGTGCTCACATACGCATCCACTCATCGCTCAGAAACAAATACGCTTCTGTATGCCCACGTGACCAGGCTCCCTTTAGGACTGGTAGCCTGGATGTGCCCGACCCCCTCCTCCAAACCAGGAGCCAGGAAATGCTTCCTCACTGTCGAGGGGCGGGGTGCAATGGCGATGAGCGACACTGGCTTCCCAGACCTCTTTAGGGCCAACTCCTCCTCCACTACAAGGCCAAGGGTTGCCCTTGCTGCAGGAACCCCTAAAACCCCGAGTTCTGCTCATTGTCCCTGGTGAACTCTGCTTCAGTCCAGCACAGCAGGGAGGCTTGGGGGAGGTAGGACAGCCCACAGCTGAGTGTGTGGGCAAGAAGCAGGACAGCCCAGAGGCTGATGGAGCGGCTGCAGAACCGGACCATCACTGTCCAAATCCCAGCCCTGCAATGCACTGTCTGGTATCATGCTCCTTAATGTATCTGTGCCTCAGATGCCTCCTTTGTAAAAGGAGCACCATAATGGAACCAACCTGATAGCGTAAATGAGATGCTCATGTCAAGGCCTTAGAACAGGGCCAGGCACACAGCAAAGCTCAGCCCCTGCTCACTGTCACTCCAGTGTGTGCTGAAGCTACTGGTCAGCTCATGCTGACCCGATGTCCAAACTGGTGTTCTGTAGGAACCCCATAGTCAGAGCCACAGTCAGAAGACCTTCAGCAGCTGGCTCTGGGATGAGTGGCCACTGAGCTTTTAAAGGTGGTGGCAGCTTGGAACATCACGGTGAGATTCTCATGAAGGAGCACAAACTGTCCCTGGATCTGGGATCCTTTCAGAAACGGCTGCCCTTTAACGTGCTGATACCATCCTTATTGTAAAGGGCGTTTCCTCAAAGCGCCTGTGGGGTGGCTGCAGCCTCCGTCCTTGCTCCGCTTGCTGGGTATAAATTACATGCTCACCTGTTTCACATGCTTTTCCTTCATCAAGTCTTCCCAACAGCCTCGGGAATGGATACTGTTATTATGCCTATTTCACAGCTGAGAAGACTGAGGCAGGGAGCCTGCAGACCCCCCTCACATAGGCATCGTGGGAGAACCCGGATTTAACATGGCGTATCTGAGGGCAGAGCGCTCCCTTTTTGTCACACTACTGGGCAGCGCTGGCAGGAATCCCAGACTCGGCCTCCTATAACAAATGGGGAAGGCAGGCCGGGAGTGAGTGCTGGAGACTGTAGCCAATTCGGGGAGGGGAACCACTCCTCTGGTCCCGCTGCCAATGCCATGTGTGATCGCAGATTCTCTGCGCCCAGAACTTCTCATTTTTTGAAAAGATGCCCAAAATCTGGATCTTCATGTGAAATCGTCTAATTTTAAATGTTAGCTCAAGTGGTCTTCTAAAACATTGTGCTCATCCCGTGGGCCCACCGCGTGTGACCCCTGCAGAGAATGCCTGTGCCAGCTCCAAGGGCACAGCCGCCTGCGGAGGGGCCAGCCCAGTTGTCAACCTGCTCTGCTGCTGGCACTGTGGGATCCAATCACTGCTGCCTCCCAGACTCGGGGGCTGCTTTCTACTCTGGGCCAGAGTCAAGGAGAAACCCCACACAGGCTTGGGTGGGTTTTCTCACCGACACTTTTTCCTGCGTTTTGAGGAGAGGAAGTTTCGGATTTTCCCAATCTTTTCACAAAATTCCTTTGACGCCTACCATACTCTCATGGGTCACGACACACCCCTCCACAGACAACAACTTCAATCCTTCCTTGGTATCTTTCCTGGACATGAAGGTTGAGGATGACAAGATGACATTATAGACCAGTCACTAGTAAACTCATTAACTATTTTTTTTAGTTTCCAGGAAAACTCTTCGGTCTCCATTCACACTCCTCTGTAACCTGGTTTAGACGGAAGCAAGATGGCTGGAGTGCCGTCTGCTGGACACCAGCTTGTCCATGTGGCGAAGCGCGCGCCTCTGGCTTCACTGCCCGTGCGCTCTGAGTGAAGTCTAGCCTCCTCCTCCTGATTAGGACGTGAAAAAGGAAATGAACATCCAATAACCAGTGTTGGTTTGAGGCTTTGGTCTGTCAAATGCTTTAATACTTAGCCTCTCACTGAATCTTCACCGCAATCACCCCCAGATGACAGATGAGAAAACTGTGGCTCAAACAGGTTCAAGGGACCCGCTTTGGGTCAGATAGATAGATGAGCAATCTGGACTCAATGGTCACATCCTTTGACTCAATACTGTCTCTTCTAGGAATCTATCTCAAGGAAATAACCAGAGATGGACCCCCAAATTTACATTCTAAAATCTTCACGACAGTGTTCATTTTAAGACTATATTAATGGGGAAAAAAATCTATGTATAGTGGGTTACCTAAATAAATTCTAAAGTAGTACAGAGGGCAACTGGGTAGCCCTTCAAAATCTGTCTAAATTTCATTTCCTCACGCAACACTAGGCAGTTCCTCAAACTTCAACCTCCAAATTCCTTTTCCCAGAAGGCACTCTCTCATGGCTCTACCAGCAACTTTGTATAAATGAAACAGGACCCTTGTCTCTGTCTACTCCACTTGAACTACCACACTCCCCAGCCCCTCCCTTCTCACCTGAGCCACCAGGACTAAGCACTGGGTTCTGACCTCTGTCCAGAGGGCTGTTCTTTGGGGACTTCTGGCCTCTGCATTTGGCAGAGTGCTTCTTTAGTTAACTTGACGATAAATGTTAAGAGGAAAAAAGTCAGGCATGTATCTGCATTGTACAGCACAGAAAGTCTCAAGCACCCTTTCCCTGAGCAAATCCATGTAAGTGCCTGTTCTGTGCCAGGCACACTGGAAACCTCCTAAAGACAAAGATGAATGAGACACAACCTCAGCCTTCACAGGCACACAACTGAAGACAGCTGTCATGGAGGAGTTCCAGCCATACACAGAAAACTTATTTAACTTTACCCCTCTTCATAGGCCCTCTTCTTCTTCTTTTTTAAAGATGTTTTAAAACTGATTTTGAGAGAGAGAGGAATGAGAGGGAGAGAGAGGGAAACATTGACAGGAGAGCGAAACATGGATCGGCTGCCTCCTGCATGCCCCACACCAGAGATCGATCGAGCCTGCAACCCAGGCATGTGCCCTGATCAGGAATAGAACTGGCAACTTTTCAGTGCTCCTGACGACCAACTGAGCCACACTGGCCAGGGCACTATAGGCCCTCTTCTAACTGTCCTGATCTAGTGTCCACAAAAGCAGATGACCTGGATCCTGGAGACCAGGGATTGGGTCCCAGTTCTACCACTTACTGGCTATGGGACTCTGAGTTCCCATATTTCCTACCTGGAAATGGGCCCCAAACTGCACTTACCTCACAAGACTGACGAAGAATTCAGTGAGATAACGCATGAAAATATTTTTCAATATATGAAACCCTGTATCCTCCCTATTCATTATTTCTCTGCCTGTGGTTTTCTGGTTTAGCAAATAAGATGTCAACCCACAGTAGTGTACTTGTTCATCTGCTTCCTGGAAATGGGGCATATGGCCCTCACGGAACAGTCTCAACCGCAGTTGGGAGAAAGTTCTTCTGGATAGGTATAACCTGTCTGTATTCTAAAAAATCTTACCATGACGGTGGACCCTTACCCCAGTAAGGGGGTTGCTCTTCCAGCCTTAAGGTCATGAATACTCTAGGTTCTCTCCATCTTTCCCCCCCACACAAACCCCTCACCTTGGGCAGGTCTGTGGCCCCACGGATCCGCTGGGCCACCTTTTCTCCATCAGGGTGGATCTTGGCTACGTGCTTCCACATCCTTTCCCAGGTGGCCTCGTCCACAGGCAGTCCACCCCGGTTGACAAAGAAGGGGACACCTCCATCTCGCAGGTCCTCTTCCCCTTCCTCTTCTGGCTCATCATCTCTCTGGGCTGAGGCCCCTTCGCTGGTCTCCAAACGCCTGGTCCCAGAGGAGGCAGCAGCGGCGATGGCGGGGGCAGCACTGCCCCCAACCACCTTCTTCCCTCCTGGCATCCCAAAATCCTTGGGAGGGGGGACGCAAAAGGATGTATTGGGAGGCAGGAAAAAATAGGTGGCTCACAGGAGGCCTCCCACACACCAGCTGCACAGATAACACATGGCCAAACAGTATAAGGCGCCTTTAAGAAACCAGGGCGTGGCTCTGGTACAATTAAATACTACTGGATAAGAAAAAGAAAAATTAATGCCTCAACGTGAGGGGGGGGGGGTGGGGGGACGCAGGGGGTTGGTGGTCCGGGGTCAGCCTTAGAAGCCTTGTACTATTTGGACAATGGGATAAAGAGAACACACCCCAACTTGGCAGCCTTCAGAAAGCATCCCTCATTCGACAGAGAGAACAATGACTGGCAGCAGTCTGGGCTTGCAGAAAAAAAGTCAGGGGGGAAACTGAGGCCAGACAGCTCAGACCTGTGGCCACGGAGAGGGTCAAGGCACGGGTTTCCACGCTGACTGGGCTCCCCGGGTTCTAGTTTTGGAGAGAACAAATGCCTCTACAAAATATCACACGCTCGCACCTGCGCGCGCTCCGGGGGTGGGGGATACCGAGGCGACTTCAGGCCGCATCAGCTCGGAGCCTGGACCCCCACCCCCCCGACCGGAGGCGGCGAGGGGGCGCGATGTCTTCACCGCGACTAGTCCGGGAGCCAAGACTCGCAGCTGGCGGGGCGCGGGGAGAGGGCACGCGCCGACGCGCGCATTCCACGCCCGCAGCCAACTCCCCGCACAAAGTGGGCTTTGTCTCTGCCCCCTGTCCCCTGGCTCCCGGGACGCCGCAGCGGAGCCCCCAGAAGGGGGAAGGGCGCGGAGGGGAAAGCCGAGGCTCCTCCGGTCCCAGCCCGGCGCGTCTCAGCGGGCAGAAAACGGGCACCCAGCGCGGCGCAGCGCCAGCCGAGCCATCGCGGGGCGCGGGTCCCTCTCCCGGGCCCAGGGCTCAGCGGGGTCGCCCCGAGCAGCGCGCAGGGGCCAGGCTGAAGTCACCGAGCGGCGGGCTCTGGCTGCGGGGTCGCCGTCCGGGACTGGCTGCAGCATGGGCGGCGGCACGGCTGGGGCGGGAGAAGGATGCTTCGCGGCTGTTCGCTCGGGCTCCTGCGGCCCCGGCTAAGGGGGTGGAGAGAGGATCGGCGGAGCGGGGATGGCAAGTCCGGAGGCGCCGGGAGGGAGGCTTGCGCCGCCCGACCCGCGGACGGAGCTGGATGCGAGGGATCAAGCCTTGGCGAGCGCGAGCTGCCCTAGTCCCCGGAGAGCAGCCCGCGGAGCGCGGGGTGCATGCACAGGTCGCGGCTCCGCGACCAGGCAAAGCTGGGGCCGCCGCCGTCCGGGTCGCCCCAGGGCCCAGCTGTCGCTGGCCGCGTCCCTCGCCCTCCCACCGCCCACCCAGCTGGGCTCCGGCCCGCGCCGCGCATGCGCTCTGTCCCCCTCTTAAAGGGCCAGTGCGTTCCCGCAGGGTTCACCTCCCGCCGCCAACCCTCGGCGGCAAGGTACCTTTAAGGTGGCGGTGGTCCTTCGCTCCCCTCTTACTCCGGGCGCCGCGAAGCTGGTGCGGAGCACGGAAGTTTGCAATATGCCAAGCTGTGCGCAAACCCCAGGGAGATTCCGGGCTCGGAAGGCCCGCGGTCGGGAATGTCCAAAGGGGAGGACCTCCCAGGGACCCTCAGGGTGCAGAAGCCAGAGCATGGCCTGGAAGACCGGGGTTCTAGACCGGATTCAGCGTCTGTTTTCCTGTGGGCCATCTACCAGGTCACTTCCCTCTGTGGGCCTCAGTTTCCCAGTCAGTCAGCCGAGGTCCTCACACTGGGGGAGCGTAGAGCCCCACTGGCGCGCCTTCCTAAAAGGATGTCTGGGGCTTAGGGTCACTGCCTCTGGAAGTGAAAGGGTTAAAATCACCCCGTTCCACCCAAGACCTGCGCCAGCGGGAGCGGGGTGCGTAGTGTTCGCCTTCAGCCCACGTCCCCGCGCAAGGCTCTGGTTCTGGGCGCCCCCGGCCGGTCGTCTGCAAGCTTCGCCCCAGGGTCTTGGGACCGCAACCAAGGAGTGGAAGGAGATAGCTGGGGGCCACCAGCCGGCCCAGAAGAAGGTGATAGGGCCCGTTGTTGTATGCAGGCCCAGGACGACAGAGACCCAACCCCCGCAGCTGTAACGCAGAAAAGGCTCAGACAGGGAGCCTACAGGAGAAACTTCACTACATTGAGACAGAAGCCTGAGGGCTTTAACACCCGCCCCCCCCCCCCCCGGAGCGAGTGTGAACAGCCTCGTGGGGTGAATGTGGACTCCTGGGCCCCAGTGGACAGATTGGGCTTCTTAGGACTGTGAGGGTGGCGTTTCTCATCATCTCCTTCTCTGACAAGCAGAGGTTTCCACACTTGGACTGGGACAGGGAAGGCCTTGGGGAATCTGAGGTCCTCAGTGGTTCCCCATCTGTTTCTTAAAGTTGTTCTTGGTGCTGGAACTTGATAGGTCCCCTGAGCTCCGATAGCAACCTCTTGCTGCCTCCAGGGTCAAACAGTATTAGGCGCCTTTAAGAAACCAGGGTGGTCAATCATGGGAAGGGGCACAGGACTTCAAGAAAGCTAGTTAATACCTATCTGGTGTGGCTCAGTGGTTGAACGTGTACCCAGGCACCAAGAGGTCTTTGGTTCGATTCCCAGTCAGGGCACATGCCCAGGTTGTGTGCCCAGTCCCCAGTGGGGGGAATGTGGGAGGCAGCCAATCAATGTTCTCTCTCATCGATGTTTCTCTTTCTCTAAAAAGAAAATCAATAAAGAAAGAAAAAATACAAAAAAGAAAGCTAGTTAAGCGGGGATCTTCTTGAGTTCACTGAGGCAAGAAGATTCCAAGCATGTAAAAACCACCAGGTTCCAACGACTGCAATATGCTCACTGTTTATGGATGGGGAGACCGGGTCTCAGAGAGGGATTTTCCCTAGATCACACAACTAATAATTTAAACCAAAGTCTTAACTTCTTCAGACACTTAGCTATCACCCTCACTTTGCTTCTTGTGCTAGCCAAGTGGTTGTGGTGGTTTAAAATGTAAGTTTTTTTTAACCACTTCTCCTTTCAAAAGATGGAGTTTTAATTCCCCTCCCCTTGAGTGTGGGCTGGACTTACCAACTGGTGTCTTAACAAACAGATGTGATGGAAGTGATGTGATATACTGTAAGCCTGAGTCATGAAAAGTAGACATTCCTCCCGTCACTTTCTTACTCCCTCAGGACACCTACCCTTGGAATCCATCCACCATGCAGTGAGGAAGCCCAAGCCACACAGAGAAGTGACATGAGGCGTTCTGGCTGACATCTCCAGCTGGGCTCTCATCTGATAGCCAGCATCACTCGCCAGATGGGTAGGGCACTGAGATGAGTTCAGCCTTCAGCCTTTGAGTCGTTCAGCTGAGGTCCTGATGTGCACAGTCAGCCAGCCTTGCTGTGCCCTGTCTGAATTTCTCTCCCATGGAAATTCAGAGATAAGATTGTTGTTTTAAGCCAGTAAGTTTTGGAGTACTTAGTTATGCAGCATTAGATCACTAATACTGTGGGTTTCCTGAAATGACAAATAATAAAATAGATTTGGGATATTCATTTAAACAGTAGGTATTTATTGAGCACCTTCGATGTGCCTGGCTCTGTACTAGCACCTGAGATACAGATGGTTAAACATGATTTCAATAAACTGCTTTGCCAGAGGTTCAGTACATGAAGCTATAGGAGTACTTACCCAGGGCAACTCCCTGGTCAGGTGGCTTGCTGGGGGAAGAAGAAATGAGTTGCATACAAGGCCAGCATGGTTGAGGCTAGAGAGTTTTCTAGGATGTGTTCATAGAAGTGGGAGTGAATAAGTGTCAGGCAGGGTGAAACTGGAAAGGGATGAGTCTAACTCAATCTCATTTAAGTCGAAAGCCCAGAAATCCTACTGTCTTGCCTGGTGTCACACAGCTTGTGAACTGGGTCAAGATACTGGGTCCTGCATCACACTCTCCCATGATTCCCCCACCCCGTTACCCAGAGAACTACACCTCTAACAGGTACTTGGATAACTCCTTGTTGGCTCAAAGCTCATATGACCATAATCTGTCTTCACAAAAACTCTGGAAGAAGTTAAGTTAATTCCCATTTTACAGATGAAGAAAGATGCACAGAAAGGTAGGCTACTTAAGCATCTAGTTCAAGAGCTGGCTCATCCGAGCTGGTAGGCACAAGTGACTTTGATGACGACAGGGATGCTGATGCTGATGATCATCTGGCTCACATGGTCTATCACTGTTGTTATCCTCACACTCTGGACTGATGTTCTGGAAGCTGGCACAGTGTCTCAGGGCATCAACATTGGTATTCATCTGCTCTAACTCATTTTCTATTCTTGTGACACTAAAGCTAGAATCAAGTTCCCAGAGAGGAGAAAGGCAAGGCAACTTCGTTGGCTGGCCCCCACACCAAAGACTATGGGTAGTGGGGGAAGGGGCTTTCTTGAACAAAAATGGGCACTGTTAGTAAAAGAGGGCCATGGGATGCAAGATGTCGTGTTTGTAAAGGGTAGACTATGTCGGCACTGTATGATGTGGCAGCCAGAAGTCCTATGTGGCTACTCAACTTTAACTAACATTAAACAAAATTATGATTTTTGTTTGTTTGTTTTTCTTTTTTTCTTTTTTAATTCTTACCCAAGGATATTTTTCCACTTTTTGTTCATTTAGAGTGGGAGGGGGAGACAGGAAGAGAGGGGAAGAGAGAGAGAGAGAGAGAGAGAGAGAGAGAGAGAGAGAAACATCGATGTGAAAGGGACACATCGAGTGGCTGCCACCCCCACGACCCAATCAGGGCCGGGGACAAACTGCAACCAAGGTACATGCCCTTAGCGGGAACCGAACCCTGGTCTCTCCAGACTGCAGGCCAACGCTCCAACCGCTGAGCCAAACTGGCCAGGACAACATTAAATAAAATTAAAAGTGCACTTCTCAATCACACTAGCCACATTTCAAATACTCATGATGGCTTATGGCTACTGTATTGAACAGCATCGATTAATAGAACATTTCTATCACTGCAGAAATTTCTATTGCTCTGCCTGCTCTGGGATTCTTACTTAGAATTCAGCTCTTTCTTTTCTTCTCTTACTTCAGACACTGTGAATGTATAAACAGCACAAGAGGTGAGTCAGAATCTTTATCCATTTATTTAACACATGTAATAAGTGTCTACTCTGAATCATACATTGTTGTAGGCACCAGGATGACTGGGAGGGACCTTGGAGAGCTCTGTCCAGTGCATCTCACATTAGAATCATCTAGGCTAGAGCTCTTAAAAGTGCTGATACCTGGGCCCCACCCAGCAGAGATCCTGGTGAAATTGGTTTGGGGTGGGGCTTGCATACCCTTGGCTTGGAAAAGCTCCCAGGGGATGCTAATGTGCAGCCAAGCTCCAACACCACTGCGATCTGGTCTGACCAGCGAAGTGATTTGCTTTCGATAATCTGAACATCTGAATCCATGTGGGTCTAACCTATCCTTTGGGGTTCTTATGACAAAGTCAGAGTGCTCCGTGGATTCGGCACCTGTGTGAATAGCGTGCAGAATGCTTAGAGGAGAACACGTCTATTCTTCCTTAATCCAAAAGGAATCCAATTCACTGAGCATAAAGTGCCAAAAGAACTTCTGGTTTAACATTGCTTCTTTTTCAAACTGTGTAGTTCATGCCTGGAACTGCATTGTTCAGCCAAGTGGGTGAAAGGCCTATAAAATGCCTTTTCTGAGCACCTAGTATAGGTCAGGCAGGCACTTCACATAGTTTTGTTTAACCGCCAGGACACTCTTCCAAGATGAGTTTTGCTGACACCAGGTTACAGGTCAACAGACTGAGATGCAGAGAGGTTAAGGATTCTAAACTTGTCCGAGTTGGCACAGCTGGAGTTCCAACTGCACAGTTTGTGTGTGTTCCTCTCCACCACCTGCGCCTACCCTTTAGCAGGGAGTGAAGGGCAGCTGGCAGGCAGGGCGTTGTGCTCTGGATCGAATAGGAAAGAAAGCTCCGTGAAGGGAAGTGTCAGGGGAAGCTCCAGAGTGGATGTGACCCAGACACTGTGCTCAGTGATAGCGCTGGGGGCCTGGAGGGAAGGGGGACCAGAGATAACACAGGTGAGGAAACTTGGAGGGGAGTTAATGGTTGTGCCTGGATTCCTTTTATTAAGGGATTCGGAGGAAGCAGCTAAGAGCAATGTTGTACCTGGAGCAGTTAGCTCTTAGACACCTAGCAATTATGGTGCATGCTTGGTGTAAGCATTATCTCTTCTTGGCCTGGATTTCTGTGGGCTGGCAGAGTGTCTGTGTCGCCATGTATCTTTGCAATCTGAGTCCCCACCTGATACTTCCTGGGCAGCCTGGCCTGGCCTTGGCGGGCTGAGAAGGGGCAGGACTCATTGTGTCCCTTCCAGAGAACTTGAACAGTCAGGGAGATATCTCTCCCCTGTCATTCTCTGGGGGCCACCTCGTACAGTAATAGGAGATCAAGGCCTTGCAGAGCAGTAAGGGCTGGAGTTGGAGTGGATCAGGGCTTGTCTGTATGACATTCAGCAGGTCTCTGTGGGAGGGAAGCCACGACTGGCCATAAAAGAGCACAGACTGTCACAGCCTGAAGCATCCTTCTTGTTCGGGGTTAATCTCACACATGGGAAACTAAGGCTCAGAGAGGCGACTTTCTTACAATTGCTCAGTGAGTCAGAGTCGGGTGTCACACGGCACGCAGGCCTCCCTCCTGGCCCAGCGTGCCTTCCCTGATGTCTTTTCTAGCACAGGAGAAGCTGGTCCGAGAGAGGAGCCCCTGAAAGCTTTGCAGTGGCGAAGGGGTATTTGTTTCAGGGTGTGGCCAAGCTGTGTATGTCAGTGGGTGGGTGTGGACGGGATGTATATTTAGGAAGGTTCTGGTCAATCTGGAAGACTAGGTAAGGTCTCCTCTC